AGCCCTTCATCCAAGCATGTTACTGGCCAAATATCATCATCCTAGTAGACCTTTTGGTTATTCAGAAGAAGTTGTTTAAAGATTTTAACATATTTGACCCCTGTGACCTTGAAAATTGATGAAGGTCATTTATTTGAACAAACTTGGTAGCCCTACATCCAAGCATGCTTCTGGCAAAATATCATCACCCTAGGCCTTTTGGTTACTGAGAAGAAGTTGTTTAAAGTAAAAAGTTGACGCCGGACAACGCCAGACGCCGCACCATGCCATAAGCTCACTTGGCCCTTTGGGCCAGGTGAGCTAAAAATGTAGAAACCAATATCTTGACATATGGAAAAGCATTCCATTCTAAGCAGAGGGTTCATTTGATTTGATTAATGACAAATTCATATTCTTTTGATTAAACTCATGTCGGTGTGTCCATCCCATGGTTGACGTTTGAAATGACTGAATATTATTTGTTGAAACTTCATAAACTGGATTCATGTATCTTAACTATGTACTGCTTGCCACTAATGGGTGTATATAATTATGCTGACTCGCTAATGAAGCAGATTTCCATATGCACTTTAGTATAGGTAGTACCTTTTTCCAGAAAGAACAAAGTACGATACCCCTCAAATTTAATTCTGGCAATATCTATAATTGGGAATCAGATAAGAGCATAACTGCTATCAAAATAATCAAAAATCTAAAATGATTTACAAGAATGTTTCAAAATATTTGTCATGATGGGAAAGTGGCAGTGAACAGAATGTCGAGAAAGGGACACAACTCTAATAAAAAAAAATTCGCAGAAGACACTGCTGGATACCCTTGTGCAGCATCTGTATATATCTGACCAAAAGGCTGGACTACTGCTATACGTTAACATACTAAAGCTCAAAATGATCCTCATCAATATTTCCAAGATACTTTCTAATGTTGTGTGCAATTGCAAGTATTTAGACCTCAATCGGTTAGTTTCGTAGAAATCATTTTGGTGACAATCTTGTGGTGTCATTTCTGTTGTTGTTTTGACATTTTCTTTGCAAGGGTCAGGATTTTGGCAAACTCAGAAAATTACTTTTTCCACTGTTGCTAGGCGTTGGTTTGTCAGGTGAAAACAGAAATCGAAGAATTTGAATGTGATTATAACAAGTTTATTAATGAACCTTCAATACCTGATACAGTTGTACAGCTTCCCCATTCACACACACAAACCACATATAAAATACATATCAGACACAATGTAAAATCAGGATAGTTTAAAACAGTAAAACGTATAAGGATTTCTTTCTTTAAGCACTTGCAGAAAATATAGAACAGCCCCTGGATTTACATTAGTGTCTAAAATGTTAAACACATTGTATAACATTTCGCATTTGTAAAGGAAATTGAAAGGTCTATGAAACACAGGTTGATAGTTGAAGCTTCCAGTGGTATTCTTATAAAGGTCCCTTGTACTCCTGAATGTCCTGATGATATTATTCCAGTAAATGTGAGCAGTCGTTTTAAATGTTGTGGTTAATAATTAAGAATTGCGAATATAACAAGTGAAATATAATCAAATGACAAGGAGTTGGATATCATTTTGGCCTTAAGATTTATTAAAATATAAAGCAAACTATTGATTTTCAGTTTGAAACGTGGTATTATCCAACCTTCAAAATCACTTATTTGAGATCAAATAAATAAATAAAAGTTCTTTAATGCTATCTAAAACTTATATCACTGATGGAGACATCATTTAACAATTCCTGAGTTACTCTTCTTTCTCCCTTGATTTGGATTATGTTCTCGTCAGTGATATGCTACTATTCCTGGAAATGAACCTCAAAACCTATCTCTCTAAACTTTTTTGTTTATTTTGCCTATCACACATTCTTTTTATGAAATGACTGTTCCTGCAGGTCATTGGAAAACATCTAGTTTGAAGATTTCCATCATAATTCATAGCATTAGATACCACGTGTAATATAAGCCACAAATAATATTTCAAATACAAGAGAAGACACAAAACATTTCTACACTTTTGACAAACTGTCATCTTCAGCCCAACAAATAAATTACATTTGTACTGAATCAAAACATTGGATTCTTTGTGAAGCAAAGCCAGAACTTCATTGTATACGATAAATAGTTTACCCTGTGTTGTACGTTTTGTCGACGAAGCAATCCTTTTGAGAATTCATCATTTGGGTTAATTACCACAGCCAGAATTTGTTTTAACACATTGACTGAAAACTTGCATTTATGAACACAAACCTAGGATAAAAGCACGGAATATCTGGACTTTAATCACCAAACAGATAGCAGGAGCAGAAGACTGCATAAAAGCTTAAAGCTTGCTTTTAATTTCTACCATTATCTATTGCAATGGTAATATTGATGTTATTCAAACTAAATACATTAAGTATGAACTCATATTCTAGACAAACATCGTGACAATTACCAGCAAAATGCTGGAAAGATCAGTTTGGGATAGGAAAGAATTAATTACTATCCATTATCTACCAGGGTCTGAATAAAAATGTAAATACAAAAACTTGTATAATTTACTGCTCAACAATATGCTTTTACTATGAAACCTATTGAGTACAATATTAATTCAAAAGACATAACTTAGAAAACCATGCAATTGTTTGGATTTAGCTCTACAGAAAAAACAAAGTAAAGAAATCACATACCGTTAATATCTGTAAACGAGGGACAAATTACACACATATTGCACTAGCATCTGGACTGGAATCTCATTGCATGACAACACTACAGCTATCAAGCTAATCTCCTGCTTTACTATTTCTGGAGTAATTTCCATAATTTGTTGATCTGAATTACTTTTAATTATACAAAGTACAAGGTGAGATAGTCACTGCAATTAAGATTGCCTATAGAAACATGCAGACACAATGAAATACACACACTTCAGGGAAATCTAAGATTAATAATACAGATACTTCTGTTTAATTGTAATAACCCAAAATAAAGAAATGAAAGAACATTTGTAATATTAGTAATGACATGCATCAGGAAGACCTTACATAAACATACAATTACCTTCAAATTGTTGAGCATATAATTATTTACGGTAAAAATCATGACAATTCACATTGAAAATTAATACATTTTGTAAATACCAGTTACTTCCTTCTAAATCCAGTAATATGACAATATAATGTATATTTACTATAAAGACTTAAGGAGATATGCTTACACTTTACCTGTTGTGATTTGTCAAGAGTTATCTCCCTCATGAAATATTAAATTTGAATTATGTAATTAGTCAGAATTATCTGAGAATTATCAAGGAATGCATTTTGATGTACACGTTATATGTTTTATCAGTTAAGTAAGTTCAAATTGCCATTGTAAAAAAGGTCACTCTTTTTTTAAACAAGTTACAGAGTAATAATGTAGCATTCATCCTTAAGTCATTCAACATTTAATGAGACTAGAACAGGTGCATGATTTTGATTACATGTAATGTGTAACGGCTTGTGTGTAATGTCTATGGTACACAATTACATTACAGCAGGTCTGGATTTCGTGTTATGTGTACAGAGTCCAACGTTACAACAGCGCTGGATTATGTGTAGGTTATGCTATTCACGACATATATTTTCAGATCATTATTTCCACATCAAGGTGTATTTGTATTATTTCTAAACTATTGAAATTTCATTTAAAAAGTCAGTTACAAAGAAAAAGAAGTTGTGTGGTAGAAATAGCAATGATGTTGAAAAGAATTTCCAAATAAATTTATTTGGTTGGGTCAATGATAAATGTTATTTTTTGAGGACATACCTGTACTTCCCCTAATACTTTTGTCTTTGAGTGGTAAGTATCATGCTAATGCTAAGATGAAAGAGTCCCTAGGTGACAAATAAATTCTGTTATAATGTGCCCTACTCAAGGGCCGAAATGTCATGGAAGATGAAACCCCATATTTAGGGTTGATAACTACTGGTACATACATGAACTTAGAATGAAAGTGCAGGAATGTCATTGATTTTAATAGAATGTGCCAAGTTATTTACATAGAAGAAATGAAAAACAAAATATAGGTATTAGCTATTGCACTCACTTCTAACTTACCATGTAATAGTAAAATTTTCAATTGCAATAAAATATTAAATCAAAAACAAAAACAAACAATATAAAAAACCTCCTTTAAACAATGTTGGACAATTCAATAACGTTAAATAACATATTCCTGGTTGTCACAGAATACTACATGTACATGTTTTGATAAACTAAATATAAGTTTTGGTATCTTTGGTTTCAAAAAGATGACCTAATGAAACACAGACTTACTTTGGGTATCACTATTACATGTACAGCATAGAATGCCATTTCTAATTCAGTAATCTAAAAATGAATTACTTATCTGAAATTCCTGACTCTCCCATATCTTACTTAAACAAAAACAACACACACAAACATACTAAGGATTTCAAGATCTATCGTATCAGATACAACCCAAATGTACAATCTTTACATCCAGACAACAAGAACAACATACAGTTACTGTACAACCTGTACAGGCTATTAACATTGGTTAATCTACCACCAATGGTAAATCTCTGTTAGGCCATTTACTACCAAACACAATCTTATAATTTAATCTTGCTTGTAACAAGCATTTTCATTGGCTTAAACATTTATGTTATCAGCCCATAACGTAAAAAAAGGATGTCGCCGTTTGTAACGTCGCTTTTGATTGGCTGATACAGCGGCGTAATAATTTCTAAGAGAAAAGAGTCCATCAATAAAAGTGGGTTTCCACAAGGATTGTGTATAGTAGATTAACTTATAAGGATTGACTTGAATATATTTTTCATGTTATGGAGCTTTAACACAAAAAAACCCAGAATGTACTCTCATCATAAACCGCGAAAAGAGTACCCTCTGTTTATTTGTGTAATATCTCCATAAAATGAAAAATATATTCAAGTTAATCCTTAAATAATGTTCATTGTTCTACTGAAATGACCATGGAACAGCACCGAATCAGACTCGAGACAAGTGTACAATTGTGAATAAATCTGTAAATAATACCTACAACTTTTCCCTATATGCATATAAAATTCTGTCAATTTGTCACTTGATGAACATTGACAAATAAACCTTAATACCATAATATTTAATACTTATGTTATTTATACATATTTATGAAAATCAACCAATTATGGAGTTCCCTCCACAAACAAAATTTACAAACCTGTTAGTCCTTGACTAACTGATGGGAACATAACATTGTATGTAACATTCAATTATCACAACCATCCAACACGTTCACTTTTATCGTACAGTAACCAGTATGCTGTTCTTACGTCACAGTTACACTTCCCAAATGCATTTTTATCCAATATTCTATATATAGAACTACTACTTACAAATAAATATAAATGAGAGACACTGCAGACATTCTTATTTACATATAACTTATGGGGATCCTAGGTCAGATCAGTGCATCAATAGACAACAATGTTTCATCACTTGAATTTGGTCCTGCTCAGCAGCCGTAACATACAATATACACTTGTCCAGTCTTATCTCCCACAGTACATGTACTTGTACTGTATGATCATAGGACATCATAACAAGTATGTAACTTAAACACTATTGACAGACCAACTATAGACTAAGCAATGATGTATGTATTGACAACATTTTGAACCGTAGGATCCAGGCAAGTAAAACAGTTAAAACGTGTGTACACTTGACATCGTAGACAATCCCAAACTGTCTAACATGTAACACGTGCCCATCATAGACAATCCCATACTGTCTAACATGTAACACGTGTCCATCGTAGACAATCCCAAACTGTCTAACGCTTAACAAGTGTCCATCGTAGACAATCCCAAACTGTCTAACACGTAACACGTGTCCAAAGTAGACAATCCCAAACTGTCTAACACGTATCAAGTGTCCATCATAGACAATCCCAAACTGGCTAACACGTATCAAGAGTCCATCATAGACAATCCCAAACTGTCTAACACGTGTCAAGTGTCCATCATAGACAATCCCAAACTGTCTAACATGTAACACGTGCCCATCATAGACAATCCCAAACTGTCTAACACGTATCAAGTGTCCATCATAGACAATCCCAAACTGTCTAACACGTAACATGTGTCCATCATAGACAATCCCAAACTGTCTAACACGTACCCATCATAGACAATCCCAAACTGTGTAACGCGTAACACATGTCAACAGAAACAGTTATATATGTTTACTCTTACATAACAAAGTACTGTAAATAGACTTTTTTAACTAAGATACATATGTTTGAAAAAAAAATCTAAGAATTTGGTCTATCTTTATCACATTCATTATTTTAGTGTCTTTTAGGCATATTGGTTGTGTAAATCTCATTTATGAAAATGCATAAACACAGAAAACATTGTAAACCAAGATATTAATATTAACTAATTAAATATGAAGTTTTGAATTCAGTGATATGCGAATATGTGCATATGATTTTTATCTGTTGACAAAATATATTTGTGCAACAACTAACATTGATTGCAGAAATATGAGAAGTGATTGTAATGTCCTGCCATGCATTGTCTCATAAGATTGTAAATATATTTTACATTGATGACTTCTATCTAACAACACAAATATCCTGGTTTACAATATATCTAGATTGGTTTCTTAGGTAAAACAGACATACTTACAGTAGTTTGTGTAAATCTATATAAATTTTATACTACTACTACCTAACTACAACTATAGAAACGCACTTGGATTTGCTTTAGGATCTTTCTGATTTCTGTATCGTAGCGCAAGCCAAACTCCAATTATCTGAAACACAACATGAACATAATTATTACTAATCATCTCACAATTGATATGTGTTATATTTCACATTACATTTACCAGACTGAAACAACAAAATAGCAATCTATATATCATGCGATCCAACAGTAAAAGTGACTTACAAACACCCAGCTATTTCATTATACAGCTGTTAACATGTATTAAACGGACCAGTCCTCAACATGCATGGCATGCACCCTTTATGTTTCCAGATCAACAAATATTTGATATCACTTAGACAAGGATTCTTTGATCACGCTTTCTTATATTTTCTTTCCTATATTATATTTTACATAAATTGTGTAACTTTATATTTTAAGGTCAACTAGAATATTATTTTGGTATTATTGAGGAGAGTCTACACATGTTTTGTTAGATTTATATCAACTGGGTAGATCATGTATATACAGCTAAATCAAGTGCAGGTAATTAAATACTGTTAATGTACTGTGTATATATCTGCAATGAAGGTTATGTTTGGGTCCCAGTCAGGATAATACATGCACTGTTTGTTAACTACTGGTGAAACAGCTGGAAAAAAACTTCTACTTGGACTAAGAACCCATATTTTGTGCATTCAATTTCTCTCTCAAATATAATATACTATAAAATATAGTTATCACACCTCTGACACAGTCTCATGAATTTCCAGTCAATTAATGATCAAATAAACACTGTATACAACCACAATGATATGTTCCCATAGTCAACCTAATAGTGTTTTGGTGTTAGATTTCAGAAATACTAACAAAATTAGGTACACTATGGAGTATCATATTGTTAAGACATGTGTGAAGGGCATATCAATAACTATATCATAATTACAGACTATGACTACATAACTTTTCTACATCAGTACAAACAAAAATAAAATGCAACATTGCTTTGTGTACTGAAAGGAACATTACATGATGTAACATTACTCTCACTTACACAAAGCAGCATCATTTTTAGCAAAGTTCAGGTTTTTTTTCTACTTTCACTCTGCACTACATTTTCAACTTTTCAAGTTTTATGCCTCTAACTTGCTTCAAGCGTTAATAAATATATTTGAAAACCTGGGTAATAATTTGAAAGATATGATTCATAAAGTAATAAGATGTCAGCCTGTTGGACAAGTGGTCAATCAATAAAGAGCATCAAGTTACTGGTACAGGCTGCTGACACCTTTGTTAGAAAGACGGATGTTGTAGATCAATACACCTCAACTACAGTTACAGTAGGCTTGGCTCATGTACAGAAACAGCATGGTGGAGTATAGTGTAGTGATGTCTACATACATAGTAACAGTATACCTTTTAAATCAATCTGGTCATCTGTCATTTAGTATTGTTTTAAATCCTCATAATTTTAATTCTACAAGGTGTTACTTGAAACCTATGCAATCGTATCTGTCAACTGAAAAAAACCCCATTACAGGTATTGATAAAGATACCACAGGGAAACACTGAGGTTTCCTTAGAGAGACATATGTACCAACCCCCATAAAACAAAAGAACCAATGGCTTTATCTCTCACCTGCTTTACTGGTCATCTGAACTTTCAGTTTCAGACATTCTGTTATATAGGGGTCATCTAAGATTTCTTATTGAATCAAGTAACAGCAATATTACAGCAGTTATTTAGGACAGCAAATTTGGGGAACTTAGGAATTAGCTGAAATGTCTCAGAAAACAAGGGTGGCCACCATTGGGACAAATATTTCACTAATATAACAGTGAATCCCCTTGGCCCAGGGATGCTTCCTATCACATTTAGTGAAAATGTATTTTCTCTTTCTAGAGTAGTAGACTTTTAAATAAAATGTTGATGATTGATAGCCAGACGATTGACACTTTGCCACAGAATAAGCTCAGCAGCACTTTGTGCCATGTGAGCTAAAAGTGTATCAAGGACAAAATTTGAATAAACCATAAACACACAAGAACTAAAATCATGGATGTGTGAATCCAGAAAACCCTTAAAACTGTCCAGATCTACCTAAGCCACAAGACTTATAGCCATCACCATAATCAAAGCAAAATTCAGGGTATACACCAAGTCATGCAATCAAATGTATTCAAAGATTTTTTAAATATAAGATTTGTCAATGAGCGAAAACTTAGTCATCAATATGTCTTATCATTTCAGCTGACTGTATACAAAAATCCTACATTAGCATTATGTAACACTGTCAGGTAAATCAGTGTCTCGTACTTCTCAGTATTAGTTAAAATCTGATTCTGACAAAAAATAGACACTTTCAGCATATTTGCTGATCAAGCAAATATTAATTCCTTAAAAGACTGAAGCTATTAAGGCATACATAGGTAGCTTCGGGCTCATATGATGTGCAAAAAGCTACTTACATCTTATAGTACAGTATTAATGCACACAACATCAACCTGGACTGGTAAGCATAATCCATGGTTAATAAGTTATAATTATTGACTTGGCTGAGAGCTATAGCTATAGTTGATTTGCATATTTTTTTCTCTGCATGACTTATGAATAAACTGCTTAGTTTTGTAATGTTATCAGTGTAAAATATGTTAGCTGTTGGATAGGTTACTGCATTCCCTATATGTGATAGAACTTGAAATACCGTAAACTACAAAGATGTACCAGATCATGTTGAGAATACTTATTAGCACTTTTCTAGGGTTGAGCTTATAGTTAAATAGCCGAAGTCCAAGACATGAAATGAGATTTGATGTGTCTTAATGATCAAAATAATGATTCATGAAATTATAAGACACTTTATAATCACTATATAAAAACACCATGTTTTTAATGTTACAGGGAACCCTAGAAAAGTGCTTGCATAACCATTGGGAGGAAAGCCACCGCCAAGAAGAACACAGGCATTAGTCAAATACACATGTGTGTATACAAACTTTTGTTAGTTTGACGCAAGTTAAAGAAATGAGCTTGGATTAGCTCGTGGGTCTTTCTGGTTACGAAATCGGATTGTAATCCAAACGCCAATTATCTGCAAACGTGAAAACCACACGACATATCATGGATCAATCTCATAGTCATGGTTATATTTACTGATTTATAGGTTTATCAACAGGCTTTTTACTTGGCTATACTTTTCAGGATAGCAAACAAGTAACATTTGATTTAATTTTCAAATATAATGTGAAATATGCATTGGCTGATGTCAAGACAACTTACTTATTAAGTTATTACCGAGGTCAAATCAAATATCATTTGACAATTTTTCAGTACATTTCTACACTGCATACCTGTCATAATCACAGTACTTTGAATGAAAATATAAGGATTACTTTTTCAATATCTTGATAAGTTCATGTGTGATGAATTGAGTTGGTTTTGAGACGAATCAAACATGAACTAAAATTCCTACACATATACACCGTGTATAATTCAGATTACAACATTTTATGCATGTCACATAATGACATCTCTTATTTAAACCCGACAAAAATATTGTAAAAGTTACATGTATGCATAACAATTTAAATGATATCAGACTATTACTTTTTAGTAGAATCTCCAACCAAAGCATTTTAAACATTTAAGAGGGTATTCATGCAAATTATCAACAAAAACCACTTAAAGTTAAGAATAACAACTCCCTTCTCCAAAGCTACCTGTTCATGTACATATACAACCCATGAAAATTAATACATTATTATACCACCTCTTTTTATATTTTACATTTTAAACCTGCTCAAACAGTTACAAGTATTGCAGTGTAAATGTGATTGTATTTCTTGAATTTCTCTCATCAGGAAAATAAATAAAAATGTATCTTAAAATACATGTAGCAACAGACAATGACAACAAATAAGCTGATAATTTAAATGTGATTGTGTTAGATAATTTTCCAAAATTGAATGCTGTGAAAGTACGTAAAGACAAATTGTCTGAAGATGATTTTCTTGAAGACATGATAAACACTATATCACTTACCTCTGTAAAGCTGAAGAAGAGGCCTACACCCCCCGTTATTTTGAAGGCGGAATGGATTTCGTTCTGTAGTGCTGTCAAACAAGTCTGACAGGGACACATGGCCTGAAGGTCAGCTTCAGTAATATTTGATGTTTTTGTACAACAGGGTCCAGCATTACCCCCACTACAGCACTGAATCTAAACAAAAAAAACCACCCGTCATATAAAGTTTGTATTACAAATTCAAAACAAAAAGTGAATAAGAAAGAAAAAAAAGTACTTTTCTACTAAATATATAAAGAAAAGTACGAAACTTGTTCAGAAACATAAACATTTGGTTACCAAATTCAAACAGCCATAGATACAAATTCAGCTATCGATATGGAAAAATCATAGCTCTTATTTAAAGTTAAGGAGAGACCTTCCGATAAATGTATGACACTCAGACTTTTTAGTAAATGAAACTGAATTGAGCAAGACTCTAGCAGGTTCCTGTGTGAATTCTGCATCAAATGTAATATTTATGTTATGACCTTGCCATGTTAACTTTCTAGATGTTCTGATATATCTGTTTTCCTTTTCCCTTTATCAATTTGCCTCTAGTGCCAGTATCCTATGGCCCTTTTTATCATTCATAGCTGTCCAGTCCTCACATGTTTCTATCTTTCTGTTTCAGGTCACAAGCATTTTCATTAGTCAAATCTACAATGAATCTTTACTGGTGTAGATTTAACTAATCAGAATGCTTGTTTCATACCCATCTACTATCCTGAAGAAAGGTAATACATGTATTTAAATGTGAGTCAAGGTGAAAATGTACTACAATCCTTTATGTAAATAATAAAGAAAGGAAATCAAAGTATAGATGAATTACAATATGGGCAGTGAAAGGAGATTTCAATGATGACAAATTGAGTTAACAAAATAATGTGGAATAATCAACAGGTAAATACATTATAAATCAGTAAATTTAATGACAGCTTACCCCACCGCAAGGAGGATGACCGCTGGGGTTGTCTCCCTGTATACTCCAGTCCTTAAAGCCACAGCAGTCAAATTTGTACTGGACTGTTTCTTTGGTTTGGTTAGAGGCCAGTCTCCAGCCATTTTCAGCAAACTGTTCCTGTTGGTCCTCATTGATGGCCAAACATGCACAGGCCAGGGAGAATTGGAGCAGGAATAACAGGAATAGGATGATCATGTACTAGTACACATAAGGAAGCTAATACACATGTCTTACACCAGCTCTTCACACATCCAAACTTTCCACGTAACACTTCCTAAATGTATCATGTGTAAAAACACACAAAAGCAAGAAACAAAATTAACAGCCCAAAAAGACTCATTTCTGTCTAAGCTATTTCTTTTAATAAATACAACCAGATACGAGAGCATTTTAAAGGGGCTTGTCGAGGAAAAAAGTAAAAATAAATGGGTCTAAATGCGTTCTCTGGTCTTCCAAAAGTTATACCACGGCAATATGATGGTCGAGTTCTGCTTGCAATGTCCAGTTTTGACCACTGAAATCTCGGGGAAGCCCTGTGTAAATTTAGCGCAGATCTATTTATATATGTCACGTGGTTGTTTCGAAAGTAAGGCAGTGAAGACAACAACAATAGCACGCCGTCATGTGCCATGTCGGACTCAGCTAGCAGACAAGACCGCAATACTATACGTAAATAATTGTTTTCAAAGGTCATGTATGATGCAAGGGTAGTATTCCTACCTACAGGAGATGTATATGTTGTTGTTATATATAACGGTATTAATACCTCATGCCTGTCATGACTTTTGCATGCATCTTTTTCTTTTGCCACAATGTTTACATTTGGCCTTGTTGTTGACGCGCGTGCAGTAAAATTACATCACTGATCTGGGTCAATTGAGAGTTTTAGACTGTCAGGTGACGATTTAGGATTTCTTTAATATAATCATATTTTTTACTCTTAGGGAGTGAATTTCAGCAAAATTTGAATCGGTATATTTCATAAGAAGGTATTTTAAACATGTGTATACCATTTTAGCAAATATAACATTTTTTCCCCGACCAGCCCCTTTAATGTTTGTTTTTGTTGACTGTATTTATAGAATCGCATCAAACAATCTTCCTAATCTACTGCGATACAGATTTGTTCCCAATACCGCTGCAAATCTTTAGCTTCTGAAGGTAATGACATATATGTTTGACCAAGGTTTATCTATCAGCTATATATTTATATTTATTTTTAGAAAGTTTTTGATACCATTCCTCATAAATGATTACTTGCAAAATAAAAAATATGTAAAGTAAATATCCCATATATTTTCAGACAAAGACTTGCAAATCCATTCTAACCAAGAAGGCATATTTAGATGATGACTAAATTCTGATGTAAAATTCTTGACTTTCAGGTTTAAGATTTAACAGGTGCATCACTGGTATTTATAACTATTGGTGAAAATTATATCATTTCGTCTCAAAATATTATACCAGTCTCAGATCTAGAGACATGACACCAAAGCTTATATTTATAAAAATTGGTCCATCTGAACACAGTTTTTCAAAATAACTTACTGCTGTCGTGGAAATTGCATTTAGAATTTGTTAACACTATATTAGTTAAATAAAAAGGATACAAAGAAGAGCAGCACCTGGTGGTGCTTGATTGCACCAATGAGACCAATGAGGGCAATAATGAACAGGAAAACTCCACACGCAATGATCCCTCCAACCAGGGTCAAATTGGTCACTATGGCAACCACTCTACCATATGCTGCCACACCAATCAGAATGAAGGACACAAACTGAAAGTAGATAAATATATAGAAATGACAAATTTACATATTAAGAGTTAATGTATACAAAGATGTATTTCAAGGTGAACTAAGGGTACCACTGTTTCCTTTATAATCCTGAAGAGTTCCAGCGTCAAGAGCTTTTTTTACTTGGGGTAGTCTCCCTTCTATATAAATATAGATATAGAAGATTTACTAGGATATGAGTGGACGCAGGCATTGCTGCCTCTAGATATCCACATCAATATAGTTTGAAATACATTGTGGTAAACATAAAATAAGCCTATATACAGCGGTATAAGATGCTGTATGATCGTACTTTAACTCAGGATCTTTCCAGAATTCATCCAAGTTTTTCTTTAAGTCAAATACGTTATGAGATGAAATAACATCTTGTGGAAGACTATTCCAGATATCAATTAGTCTTTGTGTAAAAGTAATGTTTTCTAGTATTTAAATGACAATGTTGTTTAAGTATTTTTTTACTGTGTCCACCAGTTTTTCCTTGAGCGGCAAGATCGAATAATTCCTCCACCGTATTCAGATCATTTTGCCCATTCATAAACTTGAACATGTTGATCATATCTCCGAGTAAGCGCCTACATGTGTGTCAGAGTCAGAAGCTCTAATCGGCGTAGTCTCTTGCTGTAACTAATGGTCTTAAATCTGGGGAGTAATTTGTAAATCTTCTTTGAACATTCTCTAGATATCTTTTCGATGTCCTTAATTGTGTGTGGACTCCAAACACTTGCAGCATACTCTTAATGAGGTTGAACTAGCACTTTAAAAAGATTTGTGAACATTTTTTTGTCCAAATATACAAATGATCTCCTTATGACACCTACGATGCTGTTAGCATCATTGTTGGATAAGTGTTGTAAAGTTCAAGTCCTGGTCTACTACAGCCCCTAAATCTTTCTCCGATGCAATGTTTTCCAATGCTATAATTTCTCTCCCCCCTCCCCTGTCCGTTAGATGATATCGTGGTTCTCTCTTGTTATGTTTTGTTGACATGGTCATAACTTTACACTTTTTAGGATCGAAATTTCTTAGCCATTTATCCGACAATTTCATCAAATTGCACAGAACATCTTCCACTTAAGCTTTCATCGGTATCATCAGATATTGTTCTGTACAAGTTAGTGTCATCAGATATTGTTCTGTACAAGTTAGTGTCATCAGATATTGTTCTGTACAAGTTAGTGTCATCAGCAAACAATTGGTGTTCTTCATCACAAGGGTGACAATGGTCATCAGTCAGTTTAACCAGTTGGTATCCTATTATACTATGATCGGAAGGAACCTGCATCTGTCACAAATCACATTACATATTTTGCCAACATTGTGTAACATATCTCTGGCTCACATGACATTACAGTGGTATTTTATGAAATATACTAGTTTGTTCATTGCATTGTGGAAAAAGATTGAAAGACTAACCTTTAAAAGTTGCTAAATTTAACAAATAAAATACATGTACTCTAAACTTAAGTTATGCAATTAAACCAAACCTTTTATACTAATTAATATATACAATAGGTGCATGAATTCAATTTGCCAAAATGAAAAAGGTGCTGCCTTGAGGCAAATGCTCAAGTGAGATTCTACTCCACTGAACAGATAACATCAACCTTTAGTTCCGAGTAATGAAATGGACATTGCCTGGAGGGTGTAGCTTTGTTCCACCTATCATTGCCCAACTCCTCACTGTTCACCAGACTTTAGAAATGTCAGTCTTTTACTCTTTACGATGACATCACCATGACTAAGTTATAACATCTAAATGAAGTGACTTGTTAATTTGAAGATGTTTTAGAAATCTTTTGTCTTACAAAAGCTCGAGGCATTTTTGACAAATCCACAAGCAAGATTTGATCAAGTATACATGTACATTTCTCAACAATTCAGAAACTGATGACAGATGTTGGCTTCAAATTTAAATACATATTTCATGTATTTGCAATTGGAAATACATCTCTCAAATCTTGCAAAGATATATTAAAATATTATTTCTATTCACCAAGATTTATCTTCAGAAAATGTATATATGTATGTTAGCAAGTACTGACAACAAACGAAGTCCAAAAAATAATAGATTTCAATATATCTAGTAGCTATATATGTCATTCAAATTCATTGAAATCATTGGAAATCAAATTCATAAGGTGACAGCGAGTCCCAGTATGATACAATGTACAAGATCTATACTCTGCAGAATTAACTTAAACAACTTAACACTAGCATCATCAACATTACCATAGGGCTTCTGCATAATTTGACTATATATAAGAAAAGTGAAAGTTTGGCCAGTAAAGACAGTCTCTGTTGTCCTACTTTATATTTGGCATAGTGTGGTCTGTATTAAATTATGTTGGCTGTACTCTCATCTTTATATAGTCAATAGAGAATTCTTAACTGAAAAATGTTGTCATTGGTGTCTGATAAACAGAATTAATTACTGTAATACTTGTTGTGATGACACTTTTGAGTAATTCGTTTCTATCTGGCCTGTCAGCATACATTCTGAACCAGTTATTTTAATGTACAAGGTATTGTTTAAGACATTAAATGTTTAACAGTATTTTGAATACATAGACATGATTGGTGAATCTTGCTTATGAAAAATATTGAGGTTGAAAAATTACTGATAAACATACAACAATAATATGTCTGTCAATATCAAACTCATTACAGTGCCATTCAATTATGACTGATGATACTGAAATCACAACCAATGGTTGGGTCGTCCCTTACATAAATACAGTACTCAATATATCTTCTTACCCATTTGTGTGCCAAGCAAGAAAACACCTATGGTATTGAGGCTATATCATATGTGTCTAAAATTTGCCTCTCGTGATATAACAAAATTGGAGTCTAGATACAGACTACATCGACTGTTATTTCCTTTTAAGTAGTCATATTTTCTGTCTTTAATTTCATCTTCAACAACATTTATCACTCAGGAAGGAAGACAGAACTGGACGTTTCATCAAAATTAAAATAGCGAAATTAATCATCATCATCTCCCTGAACAGGAGGTGACCCTAAGAGTTTGCTGCTCCAAAGTTATCTAATGTTTATATTAGGGCTATATCACAGAAGTTGTCAGTATGGGTCTTTGTCTGATGATACACGTGTGCACAGCTGTGGTGGTTGGTGGTCACGTGTGATTTATGCGGTGCATGTTACTGAGCCTGGAAACTATTGGCAGATCTATACGTACTGTATGGTCAATATAGACATCCACTGTTAAAATATCGTATTGATCGTCTGACAACATATTACATTCACTGAAACTGAGAAGTATTTTATTTTCAAATTCCTATAAATCGGGTATATCTACTGTTCTATTCAAATAATAACTGACACATGTATATTTACACGTAGACCTGCGTTATATCCCCGAGGCCTGATAACATTCAACAATACAATAGTACAATTTCTATAGAGTATACATGTCTATGCAGACTAGCTCAACACTTTCACCATCGTGAACTACATATGAAAACCTATTAAAATGAATTAACTTACTATATATAACACATTCAATGCTGCCAATGCATTCTTTGAACATTGAAATCCTCCGCACACCATTTTTCTGGTAGATGTAAGAGCGCCGACCGATGAAAACCTCCTTCGTTGTCAGTTCCAAGACACGACCGTCCAGACACGACAGCAGGCTCAATGGCGAATAGTCAGGTGATACTGACACTAGACAAAGTTTCGTAAAAAAATGTACCAATACTCGAATCAGTATTACAGTACATCTCAATTTTATCAGACATTGGCAGCGAGGAAAATGTTTAAAACTTTAAATATGATGTTTTACAATGTATTCAAAGAAAACGAACTGGTCACTCTCTGCTCTTACTTTCGTACAAACAGTGTCGCGAGTGCGCGAAATATAAATATGAGTTCACAAAGCAAACCCACTGTTAGGCCTAGTTATCTGTGAGCATGCTGAAACGAGTATACTTTACTCAGTGTAGTAAGTAGGTCATAGACGGTAACGGGTTGTTTCGCCCCAAATCCCGTTCGCCCTAAGGGTTGTTTCGCCCCAAAACCCGTTCGCCCCAGGTTTTTTCGCCCTAAAAAAAATAATCATTAACTGATTAAGTCATAAATATCATGTTAAAAGTTTTAAAAAAACTTATATTTCTCATGAATCCAGTAATGTTGTTCTTTATAAAATGCACCTTTACATGTTTTACCGTTAAAAATGTAAAATAATAAATACTTATACAACTTCTAACACGGTCTACAAACAAAGTGTAGTTCCGTGCCACTGCGTACGGCCTCCTTATACATTGCCAAGGAATTTAAATACCTGTCAAAATAGAATATAATGATAAGATATGGACATATAATGAAACTAAATTAATCTCATTAAGTAAATAGATACGTATATTTATGACAAGTTACCTACTCAAAATTATCTACTCAAATATGCATATTAATTTGTATTGGTCGGTACTATCAAAACTTCTCAAAATGATCTCCTCCAATTAGCAAAAAACAACACGGACGTGCCCAGAAATCAAGTAAAGAAACCATCGTCACACGGCGACGATTACATGTACACTAGACTAAATGTGTTAATATGGGAAAATAAAAATGTTGTATATATACCCCGCAATGTAATTAAAATTACACCAGTTTTGTTTCATTTCACTATTCTTATTTATTTCTAAAATTAATAAATATGTTATAATGTGTGTCGGCGTGAAGAAAATAACGTAATCCGTTTTTTGATTTACACATCTTTTTTTAATAAAACTGATTTTAATGATATGAAAGACTAAGAAGACTTAATTTGTGACTTAAAACAAATAAAAATGAAAAGAAAATACCAAACAATGTTTTGTTTTAGGGCGAAACAACCTGGCGCGAAACAACCTAGGGCGAACGGGATTTGGGGCGAAACAACACGGAACCGTCATAGACTAACAGTTTTCCCCGACATTATTAAAAAGGAGAAAGTTACTTTTGGGAAAGTAGAAAAAAATATGGCCTCTTTTTGGGGGAACTTTTGATAAACCGAATCGCTGCTTATTTATTTCATATATATAAGTGTAACACACTGATAACATTGAATTTCGTATCGCTGTAAGATATACATGGGTATTGAAATATCAATTATTGGGGGCAGGTTTGGCCCAGGCAACATGTCGATCGAGAGTCCGAGAGTCGTGACATCGAAAGGAAAATATATCGTTGAAAACTTTATGACGTCATAACTATGCTGAATCCATCCTTGAGCCGGACTTATATGGCTTTGCTAGATATGTTTGCCCATTTGTAATAATTTTACGAAAGGTACTGTATTGAATTTCTCTTTGTTTTTATTGGAGACCAGGGCATGTTCGGCTTAGCAGTTCACCTTTCAAGTGACTGGACGCCGGGAACATATACTATTACGAAATAAAATGTACGTCTCTGATTCACATACAAAAAATGGTGTGGAAAACTTCATTATACATATCTACTAAAAAGGATAAAGTTTCTCAATACTAATTAATCTATTGAAATATCAATTTTGAGCAAGTTGGACCCCGGCACCACACGGAAAGTCGTGACAGTGGCGGGGAAAATCTGACGTCGCATGCTTTATGACGTCATAGTTATGCTGGTTCCAAAGTGGGCCAAACTTACCAAAGACTTTTTGTCCTAATTTTCCCCAAGTCGGGGCACGTTCGGCCATAGAATCTCCCAACGTTAATGTTAAATAATAATATATAAATTTCAACAAATGCCATGCTGTCCAGGGCGAATTTACATGAAAAATTGGCCGAACTCTCCCGGTCTCCAGTAAAAGGTTTCGGTAATTATGTTTCCTTGCTGGCTTTTAATGTTGAATATGTAATATTACAAATATAAAAAGACCCTTATTTGTAGGGTAATTTAAGCGAGTTGACCATAAAATAGGGCATTGGGTCTTCGAAAATGTTATCACAGCAGCCGATGAGGTTTTTCTACTTTAATTTTTATATTTCAAGGTACAATATTCTCTCCAAAATGTCATGTCTAATAGTAAGGTCATAGTACGAAAGAGCGATCAGTGACTCTGAATTACTTTTCATTAAAAAATACAAAAAGTGACCAAAGAATAAGACTAGAATAATTTTGAGCTGTATAAGAGAACAGCTAGCTCGTCTATTCGTGATATTAAGTTAGTAAATATCAACAGAATGACATGTAACTCGACATGTTGAAGATTGCTATACTGTTTTGTTTTTTTCCTTTTTAGTTTCATAATTTTTGGTAGATGTACAAAATTGGGAGATCTAACCATAAAAAGTATGGACAATAGTGGAATTTCTACTTCTAGCTACCTTTCATTTCCTAGCGCCTTGCTTGGCAACACGTTCGCCCGGGTGAGGAAGGCAATTGGTTTTGTCCCCGGGCCGGGACATTCTAAAGTCCTTAATGTTTAGCATTAACTTGAAGAGGAATGACAAGAACTGGTTCACCCGTTGTCAATATGACGTGACCGGGTGTTATGCTGTGCTGTTATTTCATGAGATACTGAGCACTTTAAAGTCGACATCAGATCCGCGCTATCACAAGGAGGCAAATACACCAACATACCATGTCCCCTGCACACACAGACGCACAAGCACGCATACAAAAAACACTATGATATGGAAAACATAAGCTGTTGATAGGACGTTAAACCACGACTTAGTCTTAATAGATAACAATAATCTAATTCCGTGGTTAAACCAAATCCCCCCCCCCCCATTNGCCCCCAGCACACACAGACGCGCAAAAAACACTATGATATGGAGCACATTAGCTGTTGATAAGACGTTTAACCATGTACGGACTTAGTCTTAATATATAACAATAATCTAATTCCGGGGTTAAACAAAATCCCACCCCCATCCCCCCATTCTCCAATGTTCTAAAAAGATGCCTGTCCAAATATAATGATCTATCATCCGTGAACATGTTATCATGGTACTTTTTCTCTCTCCCGGTTTCAGTGGCAAAATTCAGCCCCTCAGACACCTATCTCAGCATCTGTCAAAATGTCTGAAAAAATATCTAACTCGGTAACAAATTCTCAGGCCCCCGTAATACCAGAAGTAATAAAGTTCATAACTTTATGGTTATACAAATTATCACATAGATATAGTTTCTAGGTCAGGATTTCAAGTATCAGTAACAATTTCATCTTTTATTTCTTGAACGTCCGTAAAAACTTGAGACCGAGTCTAACTTTAGTTTGCGTCAGTGTAAGAAAAGTGCTTTACAGCAAAGTCCGATTACCTCAAACGTTTTGGTGATAGTACAAAAACGTGCACTTGACATGTGAGTGGAGGTGAATGTTTGTGTAACAGGAAATTATGAATATGTGGCTTTGTATACCGGTACATAGTGTTAGATAACATCAGTTTGGTCTTTATAACATGATTTTAGTACAATTGATTACTCTTATGACACGATGACCGAAATGAACTGCAATGACAGCTCGGAAAAGAGTAGCAAACATGTTGAAGTTCGCATCACTCCTTGGCAGCAGATGATTTCATCATGTTCGGGGGCAGTGCTTACTTCGTTCTTTGGTAGGTATATCTGAAAAAAGGCGCAAACCTTTTAAACTTGCATGTATTTAGTGTCGTGTTTATAAAACAGAAACCTTAGCCCTGAACGGCCATTACGACAAAAAGAAGAAAAATATCACAGCACGGTAATAAAACATAGATCATGGAATAGATCCCTATTCATCGAGGTCGGTAGTTCATTAGATGTTTTCGCCTTATTGCGATTTGAAACATGCATTGATGTCTGACACTGACAGTTTCTTTACCGTTTGTAGAGTCAATCAGACTTCCAACTTGGTAGGATAGTCATAGTCATATTGATTACCCTGTCCTTATGATCTAAGTAGTCCAAGCTTTTGTGAATGGTATTTGATAAAATAATTAAAGTGAAGAGTAATATTATATGTGAAATTTTGAACTTTGACTTTGATTGAATGTAGGTAAAATATGGGTTGATGTGACAACTGTATCTATTAAATCACACTATAATATATGATTGGTGTATACCTTTGCAGTGACACCATTAGATGTTGTGAAGATCAGACTGCAGGCTCAAAACAGTCCCATGAAGAGAGGACAATGCTTTCTCTACTGTAATGGGTTGATGGATCATGTCTGTGTGTGTCGTAATGGCAACGGCAGTAACACAATGCGCCTACATTGGTATAAAAGATGCTTACCTCAGCCTTTCACTGGCACGCTGGTATGTATTATATCAATCATTTTTAAAGGGTAATAAATTATTACTAATTTGAAACTAATTTGACATGTATGGCTATAGAGTCCGTATTTGGTTGGGTTGAAAATGTTAGCATTTATGAACATTGTGCAAAATTAAAGGCTGAGTTTGAATTTGGCCAAAATCCAGTTGAGATGTAGAACTCGGGAACTTCACTATTTTTTAGTACTCGGTATTGGCTCAAAATTATGCCTTTCATATGGTTGCTTGGTATTAAGCGTCAACACATTTCTTGATACAGTAGTAAATTCAAATTGTGATTTTTACACTATTTAATTCATATAATTATATATATATGAAGTTTCATTAGAAAAGTTAGTGTAGTGTTAGAGTAAATGTGCAATTGTTATTGAGCATACATTTTAACTATATAATTATATACAATTCTTGATTGTCATGTCTGATTATTTGGTGCTTAGTTAAAACTTCACTAGTTTTAATATAATCGTTCAGATGAATTGGAATTTGGGAAAAGGAAGGCAATTTCTATACAGTTATTTTTACGGTTTTGAGTAAAACCCTGTCATCAACACGTCGATTGCTTTATTAATGTTGTAAATAATGAAATTATCAAGTCAGTGATTGAAGGGTAAAATATTTCGAACGCATGCAGTCATGTACTCATCTGTTTATCAGGATATATACAGAATAACTGTGCATCCCATGTATGGTTACTAGATATTCACAATCTTGTTGACAGTACAGTTGATATTTGTTACTACATGTATATTATAGAAATATAAACTTGGTTGTTTATTTCTAGGATGCCTTCGTAAAGATTTCTCGACAAGAAGGCCCAGCATCTCTGTGGAGTGGTCTCCCTCCAACATTGTAAGTCAGGTCAAACCATCCATGCTGAATAATGTGATGTATATACCCACTACTGGGAGCATTAGGGGTATATAGGATTGTGTATGTGTCTTAGTCTGTCAGTCTGTTCCAAATTAGGGAGTTTTGGTTTCTCAAGAATGAGTTGATAAATAGTAATGAAAACATTAAACCGTTGGAGCCCAAGACTTTTTCACAGGACTGGTGTATTCTTTTGTAAAATTTACATTCATTTCTGTTATTGGACCACTCCCCTCAGCCCCTACCAACATTTATACAACAGTGGATCCCTTTTTGATATATCATGTCATAGATATGGTAAGATCTCTCTAACAGTGTTTAAGAAGTAACATGTATGTACACAGTAGTCCCAGTTATACCATCGCCTTTTATCCTATGCCAACTTTGGTGGTATAACAGGGTTTTTAGTTCAATACTTGTGAAGTAAAATGGATGTATACATCTGAAACAAACACTGCATATGCATACACTTATTTGTTTTGAAATAAATGCACTTACTTTTTAAACATCATCATTAAATAAGTGGATGAGCTGTAATGTTGGTACTTGCTTTAACCCTTTCACCACTGTGGACCATAATGGACTCATCCAGATGAATGTATGGTAGAGTCTACTCAAGTTACCTAGGGTTAAAAAAGTTAAATGCTTTAATGATTCTGGGATCCTATGGCTGTAGATGACTCGTTGAAGGTGGAAGGAAATACAGTGACATTCAATGAATTTTGTATGGCATGGGATGGTGCGTTGTCCATTATAAGAAATGCAATACTTTTTTTTCATCTGTCATTTTCTTGAATATTACTGTAAAAATCCTCACCCAATGGAAGAGCTTTTCTTTCAAATTATCGTCAGAAATATTCTTGAACCCGTTATTTGTGAACCACTTATACAAAGCTTCTTCCTGTCTGCGTGCATCACAGATTAATGTCGTTTTCTATGGGGGAATGCGACAGAATCATCATCCAGGAGATTGAGAGATCTTTTCTGTGACAGAATATTGCCAACAATTTCCCGTTTTACAAGGACACTCCGGAGTGTTGTAAAATTGACTATTTCCTGTTAGGAAAATTTTGGATGTTCGGCTGCGTATTCTCTGATTTCCCGTACATTAAGTAAAAGCCTTACATACAAAACGTACAAACAATAATCACAAAACACATTTACACATTTGAGGCGGTAGATTTCACTATGTATTGTTGGGTAACTTCCCAGTTTACCTGTACAGGGGTAATCTCGAGGGGTATACTGTTTTAAAGATATATTCCCCTTTCCCCATTCGGTCCACTATTTTGTCTACAGGAAACCTAAACAATTCGTTCCGATGAATTTAATTTAGCTTTTATACAAACATTTCATTAAATGTGTTATTCTGTTGACAGAGTGATGGCTGTGCCCGCCACGGTTGTCTACTTTACATGTTACGAGCAGTGTCGGAACAAGCTGGGCTACAGTGATGGGCTACAGCAGGGGCAGTGGTGGAAACCTATGGCTGCCGGGGTTGTTGCCCGCAGTAAGTACACATGTTACAATGTAGCCTATTTTCACATACCAGTGCAGTATAGATTCAGGATGTTGTCAGTTGTCTGATTTCACACTATAAAGTGTCAGATAACATATCAGCAGCACTGTCATAAGTTACTGTTGTTAATTATAACATTGGAGTACAATTATAAAAGTTCTGTAACTTGAGTATGATAAACTTGATAACCAACCACGACTCATTGGGGAACTCAATATATGAAGTGTGTATAGATAAATATTGCCATATGATTGCGACAGCAATATTTGTCTGTTTTCGTGTTATGGTTTTAGGTTGACGTGACTTTAGGAAGATGAAGTACTTGTTTGTGGTTGTGTATCTTTGAAGTGTATCATGCATGTTTCTGAGCAGGCTTGTATGAAGTTTGTGTTTGGATAGGTATGCTTGTTCAACATGTTTGTGTGGAGATTGATACTTGTATAAAGTTTTTGTGAGGGAATATGTTTATGTGAAGCATGCGTTAGTTGGACATGTCTATGTGAAGCATACATTAGTTGGACATGTTTATGTGAAGCATGCGTTAGTTGGACATGTTTATGTGAAGCATACGTTAGTTGGACATGTCTTTGTGAAGCATACGCTAGTTGGACGTGTTTATGTGAAGCATACGTTAGTTGGACATGTCTATGTCAAGCATGCGTTAGTTGGACATGTCTATGGGAAGCATACATTAGTTGGACGTGTTTATGTGAAGGATACATTAGTTGGACATGTTTATGTTAAGGATACATTAGTTGGACATGTCTATGGGGCATGTCTATGTGAAGCACACATTAGTTGGACATGTTTATGTTAAGGATACATTAGTTGGACATGTTTATGTGAAGCATACGCTAGTTGGGGATGTCTATGTGAAGCATACATTAGTTAGACATGTCTATGTCAAGCATTCGTTAGTTGGGCATGTCTATTTGAAGCATACGTTAGTTGGACATGTCAATGTGACGGATACGTTAGTTGGACATGTCTATGTCAAGCATACGCTAGTTGGGCATGTCTATGTGAAGCATACGCTAGTTGGGCATGTCTATGTGAAGCATACATTAGTTGGACATGTTTATGTGAAGGATACATTAGTTGGACATGTCTATGTGAAGGATACGTTAGTTGGACATGTCTATGTGAAGGATACGTTAGTTGGACATGTCTATGTGAAGCATACGTTAGTTGGACATGTCTATGTGAAGGATACGTTAGTTGGACATGTCTATGTGAAGCATACGTTAGTTGGACATGTCTATGTGAAGGATACGTTAGTTGGACATGTCTATGTGAAGCATACGTTAGTTGGACATGTCTATGTGAAGGATACGTTAGTTGGACATGTCTATGTGAAGCATACGTTAGTTGGACATGTCTATGTGAAGGATACGTTAGTTGGACATGTCTATGTGAAGCATACGTTAGTTGGACATGTCTATGTGAAGCATACGTTAGTTGGACATGTCTATGTGAAGCATACGTTAGTTGGACATGTCTATGTGAAGCATACGTTAGTTGGACATGTCTATGTGAAGCATACGTTAGTTGGACATGTCTATGTGAAGCATACGTTAGTTGGACATGTCTATGTGAAGCATACGTTAGTTGGACATGTCTATGTGAAGCATACGTTAGTTGGACATGTCTATGTGAAGCATACGTTAGTTGGACATGTCTATGTGAAGGATACGTTAGTTGGACATGTCTATGTGAAGCATACGTTAGTTGGACATGTCTATGTGAAGGATACGTTAGTTGGACATGTCTATGTGAAGCATACGTTAGTTGGACATGTCTATGTGAAGGATACGTTAGTTGGACATGTCTATGTGAAGCATACGTTAGTTGGACATGTCTATGTGAAGCATACGTTAGTTGGACATGTCTATGTGAAGCATACGTTAGTTGGACATGTCTATGTGAAGGATACATTAGTTGGACATGTCTATGTGAAGGATACGTTAGTTGGACATGTCTATGTGAAGGATACGTTAGTTGGACATGTCTATGTGAAGGATACGTTAGTTGGACATGTCTATGTGAAGGATACGTTAGTTGGACATGTCTATGTGAAGGATACGTTAGTTGGACATGTCTATGTGAAGGATACGTTAGTTGGACATGTCTATGTGAAGGATACGTTAGTTGGACATGTCTATGTGAAGGATACGTTAGTTGGACATGTCTATGTGAAGGATACGTTAGTTGGACATGTCTATGTGAAGGATACGTTAGTTGGACATGTCTATGTGAAGGATACGTTAGTTGGACATGTCTATGTGAAGGATACGTTAGTTGGACATGTCTATGTGAAGGATACGTTAGTTGGACATGTCTATGTGAAGGATACGTTAGTTGGACATGTCTATGTGAAGGATACGTTAGTTGGACATGTCTATGTGAAGGATACGTTAGTTGGACATGTCTATGTGAAGGATACGTTAGTTGGACATGTCTATGTGAAGGATACGTTAGTTGGACATGTCTATGTGAAGGATACGTTAGTTGGACATGTCTATGTGACGGATACGTTAGTTGGACATGTCTATGTGAAGCATACGTTAGTTGGACATGTCTATGTGAAGGATACGTTAGTTGGACATGTCTATGTGAAGCATACGTTAGTTGGATCTGTCTATGTCAAGCATACGTTAGTTGGACATGTCTATGTGAAGCAATTGTTAGTTGGACATGCCTGTGTGAAGGATACGTTAGTTGGACATGTCTATGTGAAGGATACGTTAGTTGGACATGTCTTTGTGAAGGATACATTAGTTGGACATGTCTTTGTGAAGCATACTTTAGTTGGACATGTCTATGTGAAGCAATTGTTAGTTGGACATGCCTGTGTGAAGCATACTTTAGTTGGACATGTCAATGTGAAGCATACGTTAGTTGGACATGCCTGTATGAAATATGAGTTAGGTGAACATGCCTGTTTGAGACTTGGACATTTTGATCCCAGTATGTGGATATGTGTGTATTCAGTGTTTGTGTCTTTCAGCGTGGGCTGTGACGATGATTAGCCCCCTGGAGATGGTACGTACGAAGATACAGTCAGAACAGCTGAGTTACAGTGCGGTGTGGAAGGCAGTTAGGAACATGGTTCGACAGGAAGGAGTACTTACCTTGTGGATGGGACTTGGTCCTACATTGTTTAGGGATGTTCCTTTTTCAGGTGAACACAATACCTTGTTGATAATTTTAAAAAGAGTTAAGTTTAGAATTTTGCAAATAAATTTCACCTTTGTCATATGATACTCTTGTTTAATGTTAAAGCCATCTCTTGTTTTAGTCAGCTCTGAATTGTTTCTAGATCTAGTAGAAATGCAAATCAAAAGCTTGCTAATTGTATTCTTTCTATATGAGAAGACTAGAATTTGATGAAAGATTGTCTGCTCAAAATTTATATGGGAAAATTCTTAACTGACCGATCCATTTTGATCAGGAGCATATGACAAGGGGTGTAGCCCATGAGTAGTAATGTTCTGTAAAACTCAAGCAAGTCAACACTTACTGTGCTTTTTCTTGTTTCCTGACATTGTTCATAACTGTATTGAACAATATTTATCTATCTGACTTGTACTGTGTAATACATTTCAGTTGTTATTGATAGCATCGCAGTCATTGTTTTCTTTATATTATCACTTACCTGTATAGAGTGAAACCTGGATACCACCATGAACAGTATTTCAATTAAGAATGGACAGGTTTTACATTTAAATGTATACATTGGGATCCAGTAAAATGGTATCTTGAGTTCTCAGGGTTAAGTACAGATAGGCTCCACTGTATCGTCACTAAGAATTATTTTGTCCAAATGAGTAATAATTTTAGGTGTCTGTGATATTATAACAAACAGATGTGTAACAGATTAGCGCTGGGGTGACTTATTCTCCTTGTGTTTTTGTTTTTACAGCACTCTACTGGTTTGGATATGAAAGTTTTAAGTCAATGCTGCAGAAGATTCGAGGAACGATAGAAATAAATTTCTGGGATAACTTCGTTTCTGGTGCTGCTGCAGGCTCAGTAAGTAAGCTAAGTGAATGATATACATCTTCCATGAAAGAATAATGATGACATGAATTTCTATTTCCTGTTGTAATTTCAGTTCTCTTAGCTTGTGAACACAAACATAGATTGCTTTTCGCAAGGGAAGGCAAAAGGCTCATTTTGAACTCAATACAGTCTTCCCAGTAATTAGACTTCATCAACAATACATGAAATTAACCTTGATATTCAATGGAATAAGGATTTATAGAAATCATAGTTAATATTGTCACTAAGAATTAAGTTACAACAAAAAAACATTTTCTATGAAGAAAGGCAGAGGGATAAAATATCATTAAAACATTTTTAGTGAAACAGAAGTTACGATTGTGTCTAATGTATTTTTCATAACGGTACTGTATTACCTGGTAAGTGCTGTTTTTGATCAATTTAATTTCTTAAAGTAAAAATATTAGATTTTGAAAATGAAACCATTTATCCCAGATTGCAGGAGTGATTACACTGCCTTTTGATGTCATCAAGACACATCGACAGATAGAGCTAGGAAATTTCACAAACTCAGGTGAGATAATTATAGATACTGAATAAAATCATGTATATATCAACGGCTAAAAATATATATTATATAAAAGTGCTCTGGCTGGATTAAGTTTCAGGTTCTAATGAAACAGCACAAAAAACAGGTTGAATTGATAATTAGGAAGCAAAAGAGTTAAATTCAAGAATAATGAAAAGATCTCTGTGCTAAAGTATAAGGCACATTTACAGTAACAGCTTTATAAAATACCCTGTGTATCAATGAAAATTTGTACAAGTGTTTGCGATATGACAATATTTTAAATGAGTCTATGTTCCAAGTTGATCACTGTTACTACTTTTAGAAAATAGTTTTCATTGCTTTTAGTGACAAGCTTGTTGTAATAGTGGGCTATCAATTTATGCCAATAGTATACCTTGATTCACTTTCAAATGTTAATAATGCCTTGTAAAATGTTAGCAATATTTTTCTGTTTAGACATAGTTGCATTGTTAAAAGTGAACATTTTTTTGTGCCATACAGGTGAAAAACAGACAAGTTCTACATTTCGCCTGATACAAAAATTATACAGACAGCAAGGAGTTACCTCCCTTTTTACTGGTTAGTGAACAATTCTGCATGTTATTTACTGGCATTTCTTGGAATCCTAGTATTACCTGATTACATGTAAGGAGGGCTTTTCACTATCCACCTAACTATCTGGCTGATTTTATGAAAATTTAATGATCCTATTATCTATTTAACATGCATGTTGAGCCTGTCTATATTGGCCCATGTTTCATCCGGATCCCTGTCTATTCCGTCTTTGCGTATTGCAGAGTTCTCTTCTCTTGTGAGCAGGNTTGTGAAGGATACATTAGTTGGACATGTCTTTGTGAAGCATACTTTAGTTGGACATGTCTATGTGAAGCAATTGTTAGTTGGACATGCCTGTGTGAAGCATACTTTAGTTGGACATGTCAATGTGAAGCATACGTTAGTTGGACATGCCTGTATGAAATATGAGTTAGGTGAACATGCCTGTTTGAGACTTGGACATTTTGATCCCAGTATGTGGATATGTGTGTATTCAGTGTTTGTGTCTTTCAGCGTGGGCTGTGACGATGATTAGCCCCCTGGAGATGGTACGTACGAAGATACAGTCAGAACAGCTGAGTTACAGTGCGGTGTGGAAGGCAGTTAGGAACATGGTTCGACAGGAAGGAGTACTTACCTTGTGGATGGGACTTGGTCCTACATTGTTTAGGGATGTTCCTTTTTCAGGTGAACACAATACCTTGTTGATAATTTTAAAAAGAGTTAAGTTTAGAATTTTGCAAATAAATTTCACCTTTGTCATATGATACTCTTGTTTAATGTTAAAGCCATCTCTTGTTTTAGTCAGCTCTGAATTGTTTCTAGATCTAGTAGAAATGCAAATCAAAAGCTTGCTAATTGTATTCTTTCTATATGAGAAGACTAGAATTTGATGAAAGATTGTCTGCTCAAAATTTATATGGGAAAATTCTTAACTGACCGATCCATTTTGATCAGGAGCATATGACAAGGGGTGTAGCCCATGAGTAGTAATGTTCTGTAAAACTCAAGCAAGTCAACACTTACTGTGCTTTTTCTTGTTTCCTGACATTGTTCATAACTGTATTGAACAATATTTATCTATCTGACTTGTACTGTGTAATACATTTCAGTTGTTATTGATAGCATCGCAGTCATTGTTTTCTTTATATTATCACTTACCTGTATAGAGTGAAACCTGGATACCACCATGAACAGTATTTCAATTAAGAATGGACAGGTTTTACATTTAAATGTATACATTGGGATCCAGTAAAATGGTATCTTGAGTTCTCAGGGTTAAGTACAGATAGGCTCCACTGTATCGTCACTAAGAATTATTTTGTCCAAATGAGTAATAATTTTAGGTGTCTGTGATATTATAACAAACAGATGTGTAACAGATTAGCGCTGGGGTGACTTATTCTCCTTGTGTTTTTGTTTTTACAGCACTCTACTGGTTTGGATATGAAAGTTTTAAGTCAATGCTGCAGAAGATTCGAGGAACGATAGAAATAAATTTCTGGGATAACTTCGTTTCTGGTGCTGCTGCAGGCTCAGTAAGTAAGCTAAGTGAATGATATANGATGGGTGGGGCCCATTAGGGGAAATAGAGGAAAACATCAAATATCCTTCTCCTTTTGTACCGATGAAGGGATTTTGACCAAATTTGGTCTGGAGCATCATTGGCCAAAGGGTTCTCAGTTTTGTATGAACGGAGGGTATGGTCCCCCTGGGGGCAGAGGGACGGGGCCAAATAGGGGAAAATAGGTAAATCTTTAAAAATCTTCTCCTCAACCAATTGAAGGATTTTGACCAAATTTGTCCTAGAGCATCTTTGGACAAAGGAGACTCAAGTTTGTATAAACGGAGGGTGTGGGCCTTCTGGCGGCATAGGAGCGGGGCCCAATAGGGGAAATAGAGGATTTTTTTTCTCCTACTATACAAGTGAAGGGATTTAAACCAAATGCAGTCTGAAGCATGCTTAGGGAGAAAAGAATCAATTTTGTTTAAACTGAGGTGTGTGGATTCCCCTTCTTTGGGGCAGATTAGTGGGGCCCATTAGGGGAAATAGAGGAAAACATTAAAGATCCTTCTCCTTCTGTACCGTTGAAGGGATTTTAACCTAACCAAACTTGTTTTAGAGAATCTTTGGGCAAAGGGAATTGAATATTTATAAATGGAAGATGCAACTTTGTTACTTGTACTCCTTTGATAAACCTGAATGGTACTCAGCAGGTTTTAAATTGAAAAATAAAATACCAGGTGAGCTATTAAGGCCCCTGGGCCTCTTGTTCTGTTTAGACATAGTTGCATTGTTAAAAGTGAACATTTTTTTGTGCCATACAGGTGAAAAACAGACAAGTTCTACATTTCGCCTGATACAAAAATTATACAGACAGCAAGGAGTTACCTCCCTTTTTACAGGTTAGTGAAAAATTCTGCATGTTATTTACTGGCATTTCTTGGAATCTTAGTGTAGTATTACCTGATTACATGTAAGGAGGGCTTTTCACTATCGCCCTAACTATCTGGCTGATTTTATGAAAATTTAATGATCACATTTTAACTATTTTAACATGTATGTTGAGCCTGTCTATATTGGCCCGTGTTTTATCCGGATCCCTGTCTATTTCGTCTTTGCGTATTGCAGAGTTATCTTCTCTTGTGAGCAGGTATTGATTGTTCAGTCAGTAACGTCATCAATTTTTGAGAAAACAACGTAATTTTCTCACACAAACCAATGAAGTAACATTCAGTACCTGCTCACAAGAGAAGATAACTCTGCAATACGCAAAGACNGCAAAGACGGAATACGGACTAAGCAATGAGGTCTTAGCATTTTGTAAGTATGTCATTTGGTGAGTATTTTTATTATGCATTACTCTCACACCTGATGATAGCACAAAATTTTAGTCCTACACAGGACAGGTATGTTGGAATATGGAAAAAATATCACTGGGTGTTAAATCCAGGTTCAATAAGGATAATGAATGCTAAGGTAATTGATGTAAACATGTTTTACTGATTTTGCTATACATCCTTGTTAGAACCCACTTTTCATTCCTGCTGTTCAATTTCGTTCTGTTGACTTTCTCTGCAAAAGGTGTTTTTAAACACGATCTGAAAATGTCATTGTGAATTATTGTAAATTATCAAGCCAAAACTTACATATTTTAAATTTGTCCTGTTCAAAATGTTTATAGCTATTATCAATAACTTTTTATAAGCAGGGCCCTGTATAAACTTCCCAACTATTTAGGTTCCAGTTGTATCCAGATTAGTACAATGTATAACAGTTACAATGTAAGACGTATATTACAGATTTAGTCCATAATGTCTCCGAATTGTTGTCAACATAGATCTGTATAGTGTATAATGGCCTATATATAACATAGTCTCAGTCGTAAGCTGACAGGTTGATGTGATGATTATCAGTAATGGTATATGTTGTCTTTAAAGTACTACATACATGGTATAGTGTATTTAAGTCAATGTTATTTTTGTTACAGGTATGGTTCCCAGGGTAATCAAAGTCGCACCTGCCTGTGCCATCATGATCAGTTCTTACGAATATTTCAAGTCAATGTTCAGGGAACACAACCTTTCGGTGCCAAAATCATTAACAATATAGCCTTTCTCTGTCAGACTCTTTGTTTTATCCACTGATGTGTTTATAGCCGGGTGCAGATTACGACTGGTGTGGTTGGCGTGGTACAGATTACGACTGATGTGTTCAGCCTGGTACAGATTACGACTTATGTGTTTAGCCTGGTCCAGATTACGACTTATGTGTTTAGCCTGGTCCAGATTACGACAAACATGTTTAGCCTGGTACTGATTACGACTTATGTGTTTAGCCTGGTACAGATTACGACTGATGTGTTGAGCCTGGTCCAGATTACGACAAACATGTTTAGCCTGGTACAGATTACGACTTATGTGTTGAGCCTTGTACAGATTACGACTGAAGTGCTTAGCCTGGTACAGATTACGACTGATGTGTTGAGCCTGGTACAGATCACGACTGAAGTGTTTAGCCTGGTACAGATTAAGACTGATGTGTTTAGCCTGGCACAGATTACGACTGATGTGTTAAGCATGGTCCAGATTACAACTGATGTGTTGAGCCTGGTACAGATTACGACAAACGTGTTTAGCGTGGTGCATATTTGGGCTTACAGTATCTGAGGATCTAACAGAGCTACAGCGACATCTTAAGGTGACATTACATAGCCAAGAGACTTGTATAGGAGATAATCCAAAGTAACATGTGTAACATGGAATATTGACAAAGTTTTGTATAATATCAACTTTAATATAAGCACCAAGTGTTTTCCAGTCTCCTATCAATGTGAAGAAGATACATCCAGTATTAGTGGAACGTTTCCTTGGGTGGATTTCTTTTCACCAATTTCACATTTATTGAATCGACTCAAAAATGTATCTTGACATGTTTTTAAAATATTCCTGCGTCATTTGTGTTGTAATAATATCCACTTGGCAGAGAGGTTGAGGAGTTTAAGAATGATAATTCCTACTTCAACAGGTAGCAAGCTTTGAGAAAATTGTTGATGATGTCGCAGCAATTTTTGGAGTGACTATAAAACAGTTGAAAGATACAAAACTACTTGATACAGTTAATGCACAGAATTGATGGGATTTATATTTTCAAATGTAACAGAAATATGAAATGATGAGAATGTGGGTGTGTGTTGAAATTTAAAAATGTCCCTGTAATGGTGCGAGTGTGAAACACTTAAGTTATTTTTCCATGGTCAGAAATTTTGTATGTAACCCTACAAACATTTAATGTATCTTCCTGTATATGTCATGTTGAAAGTACTTCTACCCAAGTTTACTTTGTTGAATTAATGCCAGTGTCGTACACACAAAAAGTTTCCCGTATATACATGAAATCTTACCTGTGATATTTTAAACAGAGATCTGCATGTTTACAGTACATTTACACAGGCACTGCAGAATCTATACCCAAATCTGTGCAATGGCTTTGTTGGAAGAATGCTTGTGATTTAGCTTTGTGTTAAACACATCTAGAATCACAAATAAACGCATACCTTAATTACAATAATGTGTGATCTGTGAACACCTTTTCTCACTGCATGTTTGGTACTAAAGTTGCTATCTAATGATGCTTAATGTATCTAGATATGGCCTCATTAATACCTGCTGATGAAGTCGTGGATTTAGCAGTCCATTTTCATGCATATTGTCATCACTATTGACTGCTTTCCTAATGAATGTGAACTAACTTCACGTAATGGTAAAGTTTTAGAATTGGCTTAAACAAAGCAATGTTTATGGTACTAAGGTCAAGGTCACTTAAAAAAACCCACTTTGTCATCACTCTAGTGACATCATTCTGAACAAATTATGATCCAATGTTATGTATGGTTAGGTATGGTTAGGTACGAGTTTGTCCTGGCTCATATTACTCATAGTTCCCCCTGATTATACCTTTAATAACTTCCCACTTAAATCACTTTAGGGATATACATATATTTAATCATCATACCTCTTTGTTTTCTTAATATATATTTGGATATAAATATATTTATTTCGTTACTTTAAATTTGATTTTTTTTCAAAGGATGCTACATTATAAAATTGTTTAATCATTGAGTTCATTGAAAGGAAGATTAAGTTTTGACAATTATTTGATTAATATGATAATTTTGATCTTTATTTAAACAGCATATAATATTCATTTTAATAAAAATACCCAAAATGATTTAAACAGGGCTCAAAACATTTATTTAAACAGTACCCAATGTATTTAAAGTTTTCATGTTTTCACAAACATTTGTTTTCATGTGTTCAGCAAATTGCTTGGATGCTTTGTAACAAAAAGTTCAGCTATCACTGACATTTTTTTTCTTTTTTTTTTCTTTTTAGTCCTTTTCAAAAGAAACATTCCATAAAACATATTGAGGTGCATTTTACAGAATTATGGTTGTTTGAAATTTGAATGTTTGAAAATAGGAATAGAAAAGAAAACAGAAAAAATATTGGGGTCTAACTCCGGAACATTTCAAAGCATACACCTTACCAATGATGCCGCCCAGAAATTATATATGCAAGGCATCAAAATGAGAATTAAATTATAATGGGCTGCAAAGCTTATCAATAGCTTGACAGGGGAGGTTACTCAAAGCCAGATTCATCTTCTATAAGGGAGTAAAAAAACTCTCTTCTGTGTGATTATAACTGATGCAGTGGTACACTTTACCTGAATACAAAGTCTGTAGAAAGTTTTAGAAAAGTACTCCTAATTGCTTATAATTTACGAAACATTGTTATTGTTATTCATATGGATGTACATACTCGTGTTGATATTTAAAATTTTGTATACAGTCTGCGTTGATACCATGTTTGTTACACATGGTGGTCACAGAGAAATAAAAGAGATGTCTGATGTCTATTCAATGTAATCATTTAACTGTCCCGTTTTTAATGTTCCCTAAGAGTAAAGGAATTAATCACATTACTGAATAGATATTATTTTCATCGATTTTAAATTGCATATTATATATATTTAAAATAAGTAAACAATTGTATTTAGTTTTGTTGAACAGGAATGCCCTGTAAAACTACATGTACATGACTATAGACAAGATTACCCATGCTAGTACCTGTGTGAAAAGCTGCCCGAGTTGCAACCGAGTTTGTTTGTTGTCACTGGTATGTTAGCAGCCTTAGGCCAGTACAATGTGACCTGTATGTCTGTTGTCCCTGGTATGTTAGCAGCCTTAGACCAGTACAATATGACCTTTATGTCTGTTGTTGCTGGTATGTTAGCAGCCTTAGGCCAGTACAATATGACCTGTATGTCTGTTGTTACTGGTATGTTAGCAGCCTTAGGCCAGTACAATGTGACCTGTATGTCTGTTGTCGCTGGTATGTTAGCAGCCTTAGGCCAGTACAATATGACCTGTATGTCTGTTGTCACTGGTATGTTAGCAGCCTTAGGCCAGTACAATATGACCTGTATGTCTGTTGTCACTGGTATGTTAGCAGCCTTAGGCCAGTACAATATGACCTGTATGTCTGTTGTCACTGGTATGTTAGCAGCCTTAGGCCAGTACAATATGACCTGTATGTCTGTTGTCACTGGTATGTTAGCAGCCTTAGGCCAGTACAATATGACCTGTATGTCTGTTGTCACTGGTATGTTAGCAGCCTTAGGCCAGTACAATATGACCTGTATGTCTGTTGTCACTGGTATGTTAGCAGCCTTAGGCCAGTACAATATGACCTGTATGTCTGTTGTCACTGGTATGTTAGCAGCCTTAGGCCAGTACAATATGACCTGTATGTCTGTTGTCACTGGTATGTTAGCAGCCTTAGGCCAGTACAATATGACCTGTATGTCTGTTGTCACTGGTATGTTAGCAGCCTTAGGCCAGTACAATATGACCTGTATGTCTGTTGTCACTGGTATGTTAGCAGCCTTAGGCCAGTACAATATGACCTGTATGTCTGTTGTCACTGGTATGTTAGCAGCCTTAGGCCAGTACAATATGACCTGTATGTCTGTTGTCACTGGTATGTTAGCAGCCTTAGGCCAGTACAATATGACCTGTATGTCTGTTGTCACTGGTATGTTAGCAGCCTTAGGCCAGTACAATATGACCTGTATGTCTGTTGTCACTGGTATGTTAGCAGCCTTAGGCCAGTACAATATGACCTGTATGTCTGTTGTCACTGGTATGTTAGCAGCCTTAGGCCAGTACAATATGACCTGTATGTCTGTTGTCACTGGTATGTTAGCAGCCTTAGGCCAGTACAATATGACCTGTATGTCTGTTGTCACTGGTATGTTAGCAGCCTTAGGCCAGTACAATATGACCTGTATGTCTGTTGTCACTGGTATGTTAGCAGCCTTAGGCCAGTACAATATGACCTGTATGTCTGTTGTCACTGGTATGTTAGCAGCCTTAGGCCAGTACAATATGACCTGTATGTCTGTTGTCACTGGTATGTTAGCAGCCTTAGGCCAGTACAATATGACCTGTATGTCTGTTGTCACTGGTATGTTAGCAGCCTTAGGCCAGTACAATATGACCTGTATGTCTGTTGTCACTGGTATGTTAGCAGCCTTAGGCCAGTACAATATGACCTGTATGTCTGTTGTCACTGGTATGTTAGCAGCCTTAGGCCAGTACAATATGACCTGTATGTCTGTTGTCACTGGTATGTTAGCAGCCTTAGGCCAGTACAATATGACCTGTATGTCTGTTGTCACTAATATGTTAGCAGCCTTAGGCCAGTACAATTTGACCTGTATGTCTGTTGTCACTGATATGTTAGCAGCCTTAGGCCAGTACAATATGACCTGTATGTCGGTTGTCACTGATATGTTAGCAGCCTTAGGCCAGTACAATATGTCCTGTATGTCTGTTGTCACTAATATGTTAGCAGCCTTAGGCCAGTACAATATGACCTGCATGTCGGTTGTCACTGATATGTTAGCAGCCTTAGGCCAGTACAATATGACCTGTATGTCTGTTGTCACTGGTATGTTAGCAGCCTTAGGCCAGTACAATATGACCTGTATGAGACAACAGCTGTTGAGGACATATCCATCTCAATAGCTTATATCTGGAATAAATATTTTTTTATCTGTGTCATTTCATTATGAGTTAACCCCTTCTGTGAAATGATAGGACTGCACATGCGCATCTGATCAGATGCTGTAGCCAACAAGTCAATAAGAAAACTAGCTAATTTTGTAGATACAATGTAACAATATACTACAATGTTAGCAATATAAATGGTACCCTACCGGAATAATTTCTAGAACTAAAACTGGTAAATTGCTGGTCATCCAACTATAGACAACAGATTCCTAGAGGTTCGCATTCTTCTCTGGCCCATTGTTTTTCCCACTCTTGTAGTATTAAATACACAATGAAATACCTATTTAAGGTGAAATGGATTGTTACTATGTGTCAAAGACTTTGTTTGACATTCCCCCCCCCCCCCCCCCCCCCTTAGTTTTCTTGCCTACCACAAATGTTTTCAAATATTAACATAGGATGTAGCATGTCTTAATACAGGGATTAAGTTATGAAAATCAGATCACTGTGTATCATAGGAGTTCATCTCAGATCTGGAAGTCTTGTTATAATAAAGTCCTTGTATCTATTATGCTGTAGAGAGGGTTGTTTTAGAGGAAGAGTTGTTTTTGTATTCAGTACATGTTTTGTGAAAAATAAAACCAACACAAGATCAACTGTAGCATGAGGATCTGTCTGTGTAATAAGTTGTTCTGTAAAATTGATAGATCTTATTTTCCAAAAGTTGAACAAAGCTCGTATTAATGCTGTGCTATGTACAATTATATATGTATCATACAGAGGTTTTATACATTTCACCTTTTATGAAACTCTTTGTACATGTTATCAAAACACATTTTCTATATGTTCATTGTACAGATTATGATACAAAATTGTATATAATTGATTTATCAATGATTTATATAACTTGATTTATATAACTAAATTGATTCTTTTTAGCAATGTGTAATCAGTTTGATGCTCTTTCATTTTAGTTAAAAGGGCATAATACAAGTATAACCATCTGCCAAGATTGGGAGATAACCTACATGTAGTCTATTTTGATGTATTTATTGAAGCATTTTTGTGTCGCCTGCAACGCAAGGCGACATATTGGTATTACTTTGTTGGCTTCGTCGTCAATTGCATCGTCGGAAACAAGGTTCCCGTGCGATAGCTTGATTTGATTGAACTCATACTCGGTTCACATATTGCATACTAATATAGCTCGGACAAGTTCGCATTTCAGAAGTTTACGTCCATTTTTGGTGGAGTTATGACCCTTTTATTGCTAAATAAGAGCATTGTGTAGTAAATGCAAGAACTTATTTATTTTTAATCAATTCCTTTCAAATTCTGTAGGGTAATCTTAGAAGCAATAATGTTCAACATATATTACTGGTATTTCTGACGAGTTTCAACTTTCAGCGTTTTGGCATATCTGTTTACGGATAACTCAAGCCAAAACACTTTTCTTACTAAAAGCGCTGAGCAGGCGACACATCCACTCCTGTGGAATTCTTTTCTAGTCTGTTCATCGTCAGTGAGAATTGATGAAGACATATACCTCTTCACTGATTCTGTGTAATCGGGTAACAAGTGTATTTCATTTCATTTGGAAAACATGTTTTGCAATCTTGTTTTGGTATACAATATCCTTCCTTAAACTTATTTAACTAAAATTTCCGAGTAGTTTCAGGGGTAATAACTAATTTTCAATATTTCATTGAAGAAATTTCAGAATATTTTTTGAATAAATTCATGCAATGATCAAGAACGTGCCTGGTGTTAGTAATTATACCACCCGCAACAAAGTTGAGGGGGTCCACTGAAATCAAGTTGACCGTCTGTAGACACAACGTTGTGTGTCCTACTCTCTCTGAAAGTACTGCACCGTTTTAAATTATACTTGATAAAACGAAATAGGAGATGTGAATTAAGTATTATATGACATGTTGTGATCTTGTACAACACGTACCGGTATGTTGCGAAGTCACGTGGTGTGTAGATTCCAGCACCTTCTTCCAATTTTCTTCACAGTAAATGAAACACATTGTCTCCAGTAAGTATATGCAAGGACTGTTCAGGGAATCTTCAGCCTGTCTCCAGTAAGTAAATTCAAGGACTGTTCAGGGAATATTCAGCCAGTATATGGCAATCAGATTCCATTGGCCACAAGTGGCATGTTCCACTCATGTGTCTACAGTAGTTGCAATGAGTACATGTACATGTATTTGTGTTAATATTTTCCTCTCAAATGTAAATCAAGAAGAATAATCTTTTACCCTGCCAAATAAAAAAGAAATATGGTACCTTGTAAGGTTGACACAAACACAAGTAAAAAGTTGTTTGGATGGTACACTGCCATGAAGGTGATTATATCAGTACAGAAACACGACCAAACAAGGACACAATTTCATTCAGCTTTACTTTCACAGAGAAACTTTTAACAAAGTTCATCTCATTTTAACATGACAGTACATATTTTAAATTAGGCTTAAATTGTTTTGTAATGTGAGACATAACTTCATATATACAACCTGAGTTACACCTGGATTTTGGTTGGTGCTGATTGGACTGTCAATTTCATCTGTAACACGGACTACCTAAATATGTAACAGTTCATCAATGACTTAAATTTTAAGTTTACCCTATAAATCTCCAGATAATTTATTTTGAATATTTGAAATAACTTGTCAGACAAAGACCATGGTCAACATTGTTTCCAAAGTTACCAATTAACGAAGAGAAGCCAAGTTTTATGCTTCAGATGACCTTATTATTTCCAACAGTCGTATTGTATTACAAAAACAAAATTTAATATTCCCCTACCAAGATGAACAGAACTGGAACAGAAGTTGATTTACAAGAAAACATCTACCATAGTAAAACAGGAAGTACAAGATTTACAAGAAAACATCTACCATAGTAAAACAGGAAGTGATGTGAACACATCTTTCCACATCTAATGACTTAAGTCGTTTTTCAATTCTAACAATTACAAATTGGATGTAAACGGGAAATAATGGAAAGTGTTTTTTTTCTTCAAAAAGTAATCGTACTTTGGTGGAGTGATCCTACTTTGCAGATGAAGACACCATTTTGTGGAATGTACCACAGACAAACATTACATCGTAAAGCACTTGGTGGGATGATGGTGTCATCCCAGTTGTTAATTTCTCACAGCAACACAATTTCAAAGATTCCATGCCAAAATAAACAATTTGAAGCAAAATAAATAATTCAATCACCAATCAAAGATCACTTTTTTGTTACGTTCACACTTGTTCTGCAGCGATCTAAGAATAACAGAATTATGATATGAAAATGAAATTCTTGAAAATATTATCTATTAAATAATTTACGATTGATTTCCCAGCGAAATATCAAATACAAAATAAAATATACAAACAGAACACTATGATCAATTACAGCAGATCTATCCTATTGACAACATTGAAGAGTTTATATAAACTGAGATAATGCTGTCAGAGTTGTTGTGAATAAACATAAATTCTAAACATGTACATGTATTATCACAAGTAAAAGTGGAGAATTAGCCACAACAGTAGATCGGTCTTTATAAACTAAAATACTAAAATATTACAAAACGCTCCGTTACAGTTCAAGGGAACTGACACTTCATTTCGTATTTCATACAGTGAAAAATCTTTATAAATATAAACAAGTGTAACAGTTCTAGTCTAGCATACACATACACACATCCTTGTAACACTGACATAGCCACTAGGCCATTCTTCACACATAAAACGCAGACACTTTCTACAGTAAATATCAATAACTTACAATTCTATTTGACACAAACCTGTCCCTTAATGGGAATTCGCTACTCTACATATACAGTGTTAGAAAAAGATAGTTTATCTGATGTATTCATGATTCATTTGTCTGAAAAATTATGACTATGTCATAAAAATATGAGAATTTCACAAAATGGCATCTAAATTAATAGACTATGTCTTGCAGTGTATAAAAATTAAGCAAACCAAAACAGGAAAAAACCATCAATCCTATACAGGCTTAACCGAGTCATAGAAAATAATTAGAGTTGGTAAAATTGAGTTTTCCCCATTAATACCAAAAACATACCCAAATAGAAGATGGAGATAACTGGCAGCAGAAAAAAAACCTTATGGTCAGGAGAGCAGACATTTAACTGGGAAGAAATGTAGTTGATATTTTGTGATATTACAGTTGGCTAGCACAATTTCTGGTAACCATGCACATTTTTATACACCTAATGATGTTATAGTTTTCAAAACAATGTAAATGAAAATTCTTACATTTAAAACAACTGAGTGAACATAGTTAACCATTAAACTACTTCACAAATGTTTAGGAGTACATTTATAAAAAACGTACTAACTATTTTGCAACCAACTTCATATGTATGGTCACATTTTGACCGTATTTGGATTAAAGTTGGACAGACAGAATTATTCCATGGCCAATGACAACAACGTTAATCTGTTTAATCAGGATACAGTAGATTACAACAGGGTGTGGGGACTTTCCTTTGATAGGTAAAGGCTGCAAAATTACTCTATGTGACAGTACAGATATGTGATTGCCTTTAGGGGTATGGTAAATATTGCCTAGGGGGAAAGTACCAAATTTTCAGGTCAGTTTAAACTCAATTGCAAAGCATTAACAATAGTTTTAACAATATAAAGAAGAGGGACCAGGGAAGAATTCTATTATGTTAAAAAGTTACCAGGGACTACCAGATATTCAGTAATGGTAATTATGCTGGGAAACCACACCCTAAATCACTAGGTCTAGTACCAGGAGGTACTGGGAAACCACACCCTAAATCACTGTAGGTCTAGTACCAGGAGGTAATATGGAGACTCATTTAATTTAATTCACTAAAGCTTCCCTATCATGGTGAAACTTCACACTTATGCTGAGGTGTGATACATAACAAAACAAACCATCAAAGAAATTATGTAAAAGAACTGAACGCCCTAGCTTATCTAATTCCATGCTCTAACTCCAAGCCATCCCAATGAAAAACATTTGAAAAAGACAATAAAATGACACTTTAACAGATTTCCATTGAGTTGGTACAATTCAAATGAAGGTAGCTTTTTCATGCGTCCTTTCAAATTCTCCCGAAAATATATTCTTCTCAAAGATATCAGCTCACTGTACTTGTACACTAGTCGATGTGTGGACCAATGCCTCTTGTAACTATTCCACCCTGAATCTTTGAGTTAAACAAATTCAACAGTCATATGCAATTATCATTGGTTTAATGAGTGTCTTTGGACGGATGAGATAATAAACATGAACACACATATGAGAAGCTCAAGATTTGGCTATACTGCGCAGTAGTTTCTCTATCTTCTGGTCGTTCCTTATAATGTTGGACTTGACAGCAGCGATGAGATCCATCTGGTCAGCAATGGCCTGATCCACTTCTCCAAGCTGGGCCTTCATAGGCTCAATGGCCTTATCTGTGATACTGCAAGTACAAAGTTCAATTAGTAATACACACACACAAAAACACCATGCACAACCATACAGAAACAATCCTAAACTACAGCAATGATATGTACACTGGTGGTAGATTGACACGGAACCATTGAAGTATTCCTCAGCTAAATGTTGATGTAGATGTATGTCGCATCATTGGGCACACGTTTATAACGTAGTGTACTACACAGTGCATGTGACAAGATCATTGGTCTTGTGTCATTTTTAGCACAACGGTACATACAGGTACTCTGTCACCTTCAGCAGACAAATGACCAGTGAAGGTATGTACACAAAGGTGTAAAATATGTACGAGTTGGCAATTTAAAATCAATGTCAATAAACATTTATTGAAAATTAAGAACTTTTTTACCTTTGACCTTGAGGTGATAATTGTAGTTGATTAATTACAGTAGACTACACACATACATGTCACATTTTATAAAGACCTTTAAAGGTTTAATAATTATGGTACAAACAAAGTGTGTTTAGACACTTAGGAATCAATACTGAAACAATGTTGCCCTTAGTTTAAGGTGAGATAGGGTGTGAAACAACCGTTTACACTGTACAACTTGGTCAACTTACGCTTTCTCTCTCTTTAATGCCAAAATATGCTCCTTGTTTTCTGTTTTCCATCTCTCTAGCTCTTTCTGCATGGAGTCTAAATCTTCTTGTACATAATCCATGATTTTACCGAGAGGGTTAGCACTACGTGTCAAAGTCTGAATGCTACCACGTAACCTATCGATCTCCTTCTGGACCATTTCACGCTGTTTCCGTCTCTGCCCATCAGACATTGTCGGTCGCTCCTGAGGAAGATATTTTCTTTCATTTAAAATACAATAGTAAATTGGAAAAAAGGTTTTGAAATAATTGATTCTCAAAAGGCTTGTTTTCAATATCCAACATTCTGATCAAGATCTATTTGAATGACACAGCTTTGCAAGCAAACAACTTAATGCACGCTAACTTTCAAGTAGATTATTTAGTGGCAATGTCATTCAAATGTTAATATATTGCAATGAAGGTGATGTTCCCTGCTCTTTCAGTTTGAGGATATGATTGAAGAAGATAGTCATATGTTCAGGCAACACTTCTGAAGATAGCATAAAAGATGATGTGATGATCGTGTCTGAAGACAGAACAAGACAAAGTTCATGTGTCTAGTTACCGCCTCTCACGATAGTGTTAATAAAGTAACCCTGTGCCTACATACCACTTCCGTTTTCCTTGTCTGTTGTTGCTGCTGACTGCCACCCTCTAATTCCTTCTTCGTCTCAAGAATCTTCTTCACCAGGCCTCCATGATCATCCTCATCACTGTCTTCTGGTCGAGATATTGTCTACAACGTTGTCACATTTGTTAGGTTAAAATTAATCTAAATATGAAACCTAAGAACTTTTTGAAGGAAATCAGGTTGGCGAGCAAAGATGACACTCATGGTTCCAGTCCTTACATGCCATGCTTAGTGTGGCAATGTCATAAAAACACTGCAAAATATCATTATATAATCTTCAGGCGTAGGTAGCTTTCTTTCGTATTTTGCAAAATGCTTGTCTCATCATATATCTACAATAGTCAATAGGGAAAACAATGTTTCTCATAACCTTTTAATTCTTGTAAAAAACGTACTTCTAACACGTTACACATGCAGGTTTTGAGGATAGGTGCCTGCACCTGATGATGGCTGCTATGTTTTCAGTGACAGTGAATATACACACCTGATCTGGTTCAGGAGGAGGTGGGGCAGATTCCTCCACCAAAAAGTTTTCATCATCATCTGAATCTCCGCCATCTACTATCACATTGGCTGGCTTCCCACTCCCTAATCTGGAACAAAGAAATGTATAAATTTAAATATTGTTATTGGTATACAAGAAAGTAGGACGATTACAACTACTGGGATGTTATTACATTTACGATGTATTCTTATTTTACACTATTACACAAACTGTCTGATCAAAAACTTGTGCACCTATACTTACTGTCTGATTGTGGGTTTGTTCTCTACCGTTACCTGTCAGACAAATGACTGGTGCACCTCTATTTACAAACCTTATGACTGACACATTTTCAATAATCTCCTGTTTGACCAATGACTGACACATTTTCTATGATCTCCTGTTTGACCAATGACTGGTGCTCCTATATATACAAATCTCATGACTGACACCATCTCTACGATTTCCTGTTTGACCAATGACTGGAGCGCTGATATTTACAAACCTCATGGCGGGCTCATTTTCTATTGTTTCTTGTTTCCTTCTTGGTGGGGCTGGGCGTGCGCTACTTGGCCTATTCAATTTTTTCCTGTAATGGAATAATATTTTCTTAAATTAAAATAATTAATTTAAAAAAAAAATGTACATGTGATAATATTGTAAAGTCATAATATTAGTCATAATAATATTTCAGAATAATGATTTTTTTTTGTTTGTTTGATTTTGTTTAACGTCCTATTAACAGCTAAGGTCATTTAAGGACGGCCTCCCCTGTGTGCAAGATGCATGCGTGTAGTGTTAGTGTGTGTATTTTGGGAGGCTGCGATATGTTCGTGTTTGTCTCCTTGTGATAGCGCGGAACTGATGCCGACTTTATAGTGCTACCTCACTGAAACATACTGCCGAAGACACTCAGCAGGACGCCCCACCCGGTCACATTATACTGACAACGGGCGAACCAGTCGTCCAACTCCTAATTTGCTGAGCGTTAAGCAGGAGTATAAACTACCATTTTTAAAGACTTTGGTATGTCTCGGCCAGGGGACAGAACCCAAAGCCTTCCTCACAGGGGCGAACGCTCAACAAATGGCCAAAAGTGAGGCATTGTCAAGGGAGACATTAGGAAGAAGAAAGTTATTTAGAAAGGAGAAAAGAGATAAGGTCCCAAATTTAGTCGCCTCTTACGATCATGCAATTGGGGGCAGCAGGTACAATTCTTACGCCCTACCTGCATACAGTATATCATAAATTTTTAGACATTTCAGTTACATTACCATTATATGAAAACTTTGCATAACACCCGTAAGGTACTTACGAGGCCGAGACCTGGGGTGATTGATCATCCTCCCCCATGGGTTCTGATGGAGGTGGTGCCTTCTGTGTTGGTGCCCGCTGATGCTGCTCATCCTCTGTGAATGGAATGATACTATGCTATATAGGGGAGGTAATTTTCTTACTAGCTCTGACAGATATGGTGAGCTAATATGTCACTCAAGCAAATAGTATCACCAAGAAAATTTACGGGAAACTTGTCCTGCCATCTTTTTAAACAATACCCAAGTATTTTTTATTGTAACAACTGGTCTAACAGGTCTGTATCACTCACCTGTTGTTGAATGGTATAGGAAAACATAATTGACCTCTGTGACCTTCAAAATGAATCAATGTCAAAAGTATTTAAACAAACTTGACACAAGCATGCTTATATTAGAGGCGAGGTTTCATTATTCTACAACTTCAGGCTCTTCCTTGGATTGTTGGAAGGTTTAGACTGAATTCAATCATGTTACCTTAAAGATGGGCCATTTATTTCAAGCAATTTTATAGCTTCTTATTCCAGAAAACTGTAAGGCGGAATACCACCAATCCATCCTTTTGAAACTTTAAAAGAAGTTGTGTTAAGTGTTTAACATATTTACCGTGCGACCTTGAAAGTGGGTCAAGGTAATTTCTATGACCAAATTTGCTTTAATAGTTCAGTGATAGTTTCTAGGAATTTCTAATTATGAGTCGTTGGACTCACTACATTTGTATATAATGGGGCATTTATGTTTGTTTTTAGATGTCACAATAATTGTTATAGTTGTTTGAAAATTTAACAGATATGACCCCTGTGGCCTTGAAAGAAAGTCATGGTAATTTATTTGAACAAAGTTCATAGCATTTCATTCAGAATCTTAGTAGTCATTTAAGATTTTACACTTCTGATCTCTTTGACCTTTGAAGTGGGTCAAAGTAATCTATTTGTCCAATCTGGCAAAATTTCATTACTACCCGTGTAGATCTGTAGAAGCTGTTTGATCTATATAAAATATTTGACCCTTATGACCTTGAAAATTTATGTTAAGGGAATTTATTTGCACAAACTTTCAACCCAGCAGGCTACAGGCAAAATATTAAGACTTAACACCAAGTGGAGCTAAAATTTGTTTTGAAAAAAAATGACGATGGACAAAGCACCATGGCATAAAACTCACAGACTCTTTGTATCAGGTAAGCTTAAAATGTAATGTATAGTACAAACTAATAGATAATATGAAACTTTGGGTAATATCTAATGCTAACTGTGTTCAGCAAAATGATTGACTTATTCATGATAGCAGATTCTGACAATGGACTTGAATTAACCAGATGATGTAACAATAAAAAAATTGAATTCAATGTGGTGTAAAATAGTGTAAAATACATTCAAGTGTGTGATAACATCAACATGCTGGAATAAATACCTAATTCAATGGACCAAAACGAATCTCATACAAAGTCATGTACAAATAATGTCAAATGCTATACAAAGTCCTGTAACTGGCATCCTCAATACTCCAGGGTATCACTTTCACTCTCAGCACCCCTGGAATATATCATAGCAAAATCGAAGGCTAAGTGGGCACCACAAGTCTGATCCTTTGATGTAGTGCATCAAAGGAATCTCGCAGCAGGTAACTGTAAAGTTGACTGGCTCTGTAATCTTCAAAGGACAGGTATCAGCCTAGCAATTGGTCAGTTTTATTTTACCCGAGACCAATCAAATAGCTATCTGCGTTCCTTCAATTTTGCTATGACATATTCCAGGGGTGCAGAGAGTGTAAGTGAGCATAACCCCTGGATATCGAGGATGTATAACTGGTAGCAGTCTCTTCATATATTGAATCAAAAGGGTATTCATATATACACTCTGTATGTCTTTATGAATTCTGAAATATCAAAACCACAATAGGCTACATACTGGTTAATATACATGAAATATCAATACATAATATGCAAGCAAAGGAATAAGCTTTTCCTCCATCTAAATTATATCTACTACTGTCAAACAAATGCCGGTATTGTAAGAATGTTTATATTTGACATTCAATTATACATAACCTTATTTCTATATTCATCCTAGGTTTAAGTTTCCCCGATATGATCTGCTGTTTGTCTATTCAGTCAGTATAAAACAATTAACGACAACTACATCCCAACACCGATCAGTATACCACCACATTCTACTCTAATGCATGTCCACATTTACTACACCATGTCCTTCAAAACATATCACATTTACTACAACTCCACATCCTTCAAAACCTACCACAAGAACAACTACTGCATATTTTTCAAAACTCGTTACAAACCTACCAGTATAATATCAACTTCTAGAGCATGCCCTTCAAAACATTCTCCCATTTACAACCAGAATTTCTAATTTTTAACAAAAATAATAAAAGCAAATATTTTCCTATGTTAGGAGCGTCATATCAATTGTTTGAATATTACATTATCAAACACTATAATATTGTATCCAATATATTATCTTTATACCATTCTTATACAATGTACTAACAGGTACCTTTATCATAAATCTTACATTACCTCTACACTGGTCTTTTTATAACCTTTATGCCAGTCTTACATTACCCTCTATACCAAACATATGTAACCCTTAATTACCTTTATAATAGCCTATACTATCTATATACCTGCACCAGTCTTATATTTTAACAGTCTTATATTACCTGTATACATATTTATGGGAATATTATATTATTTTATATTACCAGTCTTATATCATACCGATCTTATATTACCTGTATACCAGTCTTATATGACCTATCTACCAGTTATATATTATACCGATCTTGTATTACCTGTATACATATTTATGGGAATATCATATTACAATGTACTTTATATTCCCAGTCTTATATTATCGATCTTATATTACCTGTATACCAGTCTTATATGACCTGTCTACCAGTTTTATATTACCTTTATATCAATCTTATATTACCTGTATACCAGTCTATATTAATTTTATGCCAATCTAATATTACCTTTATCATGCAATGATGATAATAAAATATATACATGTTCTCCTACACTAATCACGTATTATGTATCACAAAAGGATAATTCTTTATGAAATTTGTTTTTCCTATATACACTGAAAGAAGGCAACCTCGTGTTTATAAATTGTCCTGCAGCTACAAACCCGACTATAATTGTTTAAATGTTAAGATTTTTTTACATCCCGTTTTCTACCAATAGATTTTCACAAAATAGGATAATAAATTCATTAATAAGATCCACATGATAACTGGGTTGAGCTTGTGTCCTGTAAAAGGCCTCAACTGATAGGTCTATGATACCCAACTTTTTTTTACATGATAGATACCGTTAACGGTACTGTACTACTAATGTTAAAACATGCCCTCAAATTCAGAAATCCTGGTGAACCAGGACATAATATACAATTGCTCTTAGTAACAAGTCTAATTCAAAATTGACTACCACCCTTATTGTCACAATTCAATGATAATTGAAAACCATGCTTATTTAGTATTGTCACATCTTCAGTTAGAGTTAAGTAACACAATTTTTCTTTACAAACTTAAAATAACAATTAAGTTTAAAAAAACTCATGTTACAGAATTCAAGTCATGCAGTTTTGTTGATCTCCAATGATCCTGTATAGACCTTGTAATGAAACTTCCCCTCCACTCGTAAAGTGTGGCAGGTATCAATGATCAGCTTTCATTAGGGTCCTGTAACTGACATGCCTAACAGTTATTTCATCCTAACACTGCTCACTAGGAGCAGAATATTGTGTTATACAGTAGCAAAGACGGGAAAGTCTTTTACATCTAAAACTATCTATTTAGCAGAGATTTCTTAAAGATTACACAAAAGAAATGTAGAAAGGTATGAGTTGACATGAAGTCTTAGCATAACTGGATTAACTGAACTTAGACTATAAGTTGCATTTGGTCAAGCTGAGGATCTAAGTCACGTCACCTCTCACCCTGTGTCTGTACCATATAATACCTGTTAATATTCTAATCATCAATCATTCATGTGTGCAACAACAGATTTTTTTATACAACTTATTTATTAACTCTTTATGCCAACTTTATGTATAAATCATAACATAACAATATAAACAAGGAAACAAATATTTCCTTTTTGTTTATTTTCGACGGCTGTGTAACCAATATCGTTTAATATTAATTTACTGAATTATAGGCAACATGCTGTACACACCTAAATGATAGCCTGATGGCTGGTACACACTGGAGGGTGAGAGACAGGAAGGAGAGGCAGAGGTAGGGGAGGTCTAGGCAAAGGTTACCAGGAAGGTTTCTGTATACACCATCATGCCCATGCTACAACTACACAACTACAAGTATCACAATCTTTCATGCTGACCTGGCTGTTCTAGGCTAACACATTCTTCACATCTGCTGTTTAGACTTTTTAAAAAGTCTAACAATGTTTTAACCCCATGTATTAAATTTGTTTTCTTATTCATAAATTTTTCAATTTGTGCAATTTTGATTAAATATTGATGAGTGAATTTCTTAAATGTGACAGTTTAAGAACAAAGAATTGGTGTACATAGTACATAACATTTATGTAGATTCAAACGGGATCCAAAAATTCAAACATATTTGTGTTGGTAAAGTAACATCAGTCACTGTCTAATCTTTAGAGAATTTAATTCAGAAATTAGAAGTTGAACTTTTATTTCTTCATGTTAAGATACCAGAAGGGAAAAAGATCTAAACATGAACAGAGATTCAGATTAATATTTTAATAAATTCTCAGACTTCGGCAGTTGTTGGTGCATCTTTACAACACAAGTTTTCAGGGTGAATTTGACAATACAGGTGAAATAAATGCAGACCACGGGAGTGTGAAGATTATCAATGTGCACATTCATATGCCTTGAACAACTCAGATCATTCACCCTAAACTGGACAGTGTTTGTAACCTCTGACATGTCAATCCAAAATTAATAACCAATTTTACACAAGAAATATGGCAGAATATGATATACCATCATCAATATTAAAAGTGACTAGGTTTTAAAAACCATATACCATTACCGGTACATACAAATATCTATGAAAGTCTTTCTTATTTTATGACAATTAATTTGCATTCTGATAAAATTTACAAAAATTAAAACAGAACAACATAAACTATATTAAATTGCTGATGTACTGAAATACAAAATCTTCAAAAGGAAAAAAGGTTTATGTATATCAGAGGCAAAATTGTTAACTTTGTACATCTCAGTAGCTGTTATTTTGGATTAACAAGAAAGAGGATACCAACACCTTCCAACAAAGGGTATTTTACAGGAATTAAACATCATGCCCTTTTGTTTGGTGAAAACCATACCTTCATCACTTGAATCACGATGCCGCCCTGCAAGGTTACCAATAGAATAACAAAATGTACATGCAGCAAAGGAATCATATGTAAGCCACACTCAGAGATGGTCCCAGGGGTAGACAAGGGCTTTAACTCTTACATACTGATCTCAATTTGAGTACATGGTCAATAAGCCTAACTATTTCCAATTTGAGTACATGGTCAATAAGCCTAATTATTTCTAATTTGAGCACATGGTCAATAAGCCTAATTATTTCATCTATTTTTTTTTTTAACAATACCATCTTACAGTTACAGTGTAGAAGGTAATGCCCTGTTAGGCTTCACCTAGTTGTACATCATCCCTCCAGGCTTGCCTGTAGATGTATGACTTTGTTCAGCTATAATATTTCTGAGAAGGAAGGTTACTATTTCCCTGACAAATACTGACTTACTGCAACAAGAATGTTAGCTGCTAGTTATTCTGTAATATCAGAAAAAATGTCTGTTTTTCAGCTATTAAAATGAATCATCCATAGAGATTAATGTAAAGAAATAGATGAACACATTCACACAAAAATAAGATTATGAGGCATTTTTATTTGATATTGCTGGATTGGAAATTTCTTATTTATCTTATTTATATACAATTTTTTAAAAATGCACACACGCAAAGAAATTATCATAAACAGGAATGAAGCAACATTGACAGAGCTTTCAGGAAACAGGTTTTTTGATGTGTCATTGGAATGGGAATTAGTACTCTAAATCTAAAGCGTGTCCATAGCTGATAACTAGTTTATCACATTAACAGCTTTTAAAACTCTTTAAATAATCATTTCCTAAGTTGCAAAGTAAAATGCTGCAGCTGCTACAAAATGTCTTCAGTTCAACTCACTCATGGTAGCTGTGATTAAGAAATATTCTGTTTGCGTCATAATTAATTATGATCAATTGTCAAGTTACATCCAGAAGCAATGCCTAGAATTAAAAACTCAATTTACCCAGTCTGACCAGATTTACATATAGCCTTGATAAAGCTGAACTCCACACTAAAAGCAGACATCCAATAGGCTGGTAATTCTAGTGTACTCAAAGCTACACGACCTGCTAGGAAGCCAAAATAAGTGACAATTTTTTTATTTTTTTTTATTGTCATTAAGTATGAGAGTTAAGATTCCCGATTTCATGCTCTTCCACCAGATTCAGATCCATTAATAGCCAGAGAAATAACATGCTATATTGTATCAATACCAACCAATTCCTCTGTTTTCAGATACAGTCATCATGCAAGTGGCCAGCATGGGTCATTAACATGATTTATCAGGGCAGGCCTCTTGATTTATCCTAATTAGCTTTATTTAAATTGTTTTTCTATGGAGATTTTTATAGACCTGCAGGAATAAAGAATTTAAACAGATACACAGTATACAGTAGTTGTATGAGAGAGAAAGGAGTGGTGATTTCAGTCATAGCTAAGGGGTGATACTGTGTAATATACGTAGGAGTGGTGCTGTCCGAGTGAACTGTGTCGGGGCACTTGGGCGCCAACAGATCATAGAAACTAATGTGTGCACGGAAAGATTTTTCTCGTCTTGGTACAACTTCTTAAGAAAAAAATCCTTTTCCAAACTTGACACAACTTTGAAGGCTCAGTCTTGTCATTATGCAAGAACTGTCACAAGTTCAAAATCATACTTAAGTTTGCTTACTGAACAAATTTTTCTCAAGATGTCTGCACCAGATTTATAAATTGAAAGTTGCACTGTTGACTGGTTTAGTATTATGATAATAGAAGTAATATTGGGTACATGGATACACATTTATATATCTCTTACTGCATTCACGTCTATGTGAAACAACCAATCACCAATGAAACATACAACGTTTACTTCAACAGGATTATGATGGGACATTACTTACAATGATTCACAGGAACATTTATGATTGATGGTAATTATGATGAAATGAAGATCCAATATCCTGTGAAAACTTCAAATTTACTTCAGACACATTTATGTTTCATAGAGAGTCTGTTATTCTATATCTGTCGAGATCCACACTCACCATCTCTGCGCCTCCTGGAACCCTTTGCTGAGGAGGGACGGACTGGCCTCTGCACTTCAGACTGAAAATTACAACAGTTTTATAATCACAAAAGAAACTTTCTACTAAAAACAAAACACATAATTGTGTAACTCATGTCAGTAGCTGGTTATTTAGATTTCTCTTTTTGTTCGGTTATGAAGTGATAGCTCCAGTTTATGAAGTGATAGCTCAAGTTGACCCCGTGCAAATTCAATGGAAGGTGAAGTCATCTATGATATACTTATACAAATTAATATTTCAGATTCTTATGTATTCTTAGTACCCAGACACCAAGATGGTAAAAGACTTGGATAAGGGATTTACTAACCTTTATGTGAAATGATAAAAGAAAATAGTGAAAAAATGCCTTAATAATTAATCCACATAAAATAGATGTAATTCATGTAAATAAATCACACATATACTGATAACAATATTTATACTTCTTATGTCTTTATAATTTCTCTACTTATAACCTTTACTAATGACCCCCGAAACAGATGTACAATTCAATGCTAGCTGTATGTAATACATATGGACACCTTGTCTTCAGAATAGAAGTCATTAACTCACCTCCTGCTTTTCTCCATTTACCATGCCCTCATTTTCCTTGCCTTCATCATCATCATCTCTGTGCTGTAAGTAAGGACAGGAACTTAAGTTTGAATTATACAATACAAAAAACCTGGATCAACTACATTTTTGTAAAGTTAACACCATACTTTTGCCATTAACTAATAAATTATTATTTTTATACTTGTTACTATTGAAATATTTGTGTATATCTTTGTCTTGGTTTCAGAAACATTTTTCAATCTAACAATGGTATAATGTCAATTTATGATTAAACAATTCTGGGTAAAAGTGTTTTCATTGTAACACTGTAAAAATATATGGCAGGTAATTTGACTTTTTATTATTATTTTCATCATCATTTTAAATTGGTTTAACACAGCAGATTTCATGAATTTAATATATGAAGCATTCATTTAAAAAAGGCCATATTGTTTTGCTGATCAACATCGGAAAGCAAAAGCCATTATAAGTGTATGTATTTTTGAAGCAAAGTGGAATTCACTATCTTGAATTAAATTTGTAAATTTATTTATTTCAAACATACTACAAAAGCGGAAAGAGAAATTCTGATTAGTTATCATACTAATAGTTATATGATTTCACATCGTCAATACATATTAAATATCAAACTTTCAAACACAAAGTTCTGTAAAAACATCAATATCAAATCAAATGTACTACCAGAGACTCAGATGTACCATATTTGAGTAATAATGTGGGCTGCTCTAATAAGGACATCCCCAGAGATTTTTGAAACGGTACAATGCTTAAAATTACAGATTTATTTTTCAGTTCTGAATATTTTTCTCCATTCTGGATTTTACATTTTCCAGAATTCATTCAGGTGGTTTTGTTTGTTACACAACTTTAGATATGAAAATAGCACTGTACACCAGTGTATTGATTATAAACAATGCTATCCTAGAACATCCCTTGCTGATACAGTGACTAATGTAATTGTTCAGAATGACTCTGCGTCATCATCATTGAATTCATCTTAGGAGTTGGATACAGAGACCCTTGTGTCTCTGCTGCAGTGGAATAATAGTCAAAATAGCATCACGTATAAATAAAGGCTCCCCATTCGTATGTGACCTGCACCCGGTGCTCTTATTTTGTCAAATATGGTGCATATGTTACAGAGATTGGGAACTCTCTCTTTTTGATACTCTGTACATCAACTGACACCTCAATCATAACTTCTAAACCAGCTATGTTTCTCATGAAAAGAATTAGCCAATTTAATAGCTGGTTTTCAACTGAGGTGAGTTAAATTTATTGTAATCAAGTGTTATTAAGCTATCTAGCCTTGGAAGTCATCTTTAATCTGGAAATTTGACGGTAAACCTGCTGCCAGTTTCTGTAAAATTTTGTCAATGGTAGTACCAACAAACCAAAACTGGTCATTTCATAACAATTAAAAATGACAAAAATAGATACAACACCTATTATGGAACATAATAACCAACTTAACTCCGATAGGAGATAATGACCCACTTAATTTCAACGGAAGGTAATAAAAGCCAACTTAATTTTAATAGGAGGTATTAACCAACTAAATTCCAACAGAAGGTAATGATCAACAATAACTCAGATGGTAAAAACCAACTTATTTCCAACAGGAGGAAATGGCTATTAATTGTAACACCAACAGAATGAACAGTGGACCTGAAGGCGTGTTCTCTTGATGTCCTGTACACTGTAGGGGTCGACCTGGTACACCTGATCCTCTTGGCGGTGTGAGATGTGGGAGGAATTTTCTTGGCCTGGTGTTGAACTACCTGGACTAACATTGTCCTTGTGACGCTTCGACCTCGAGGGACTGCTCTTTGTAACTATGGGCTGCTTGGCTGCTCTACTTTTGTGCAATCTTTTACTGAATTTTGATCGAGAGTCTAGCACAACAAAGTCTTTAGACGATGTCTTTTTTCCTGGTGAAGATTTGGGTGATTTCCCAGATTCTGGTTTGGGGTTGATTTTACTGCTACTGTTTTTGCCGCGGATAACTTTCATGGCCTCTTCCTTTTGTTTCTCCCTGATAGCCATACGACTTTTAGTTCCTGACTTCCTTTTCTTCCCCTCTGTGTCCATGAATCTATTATCAAGCGGTTTCTCATCATCCATCTTTTCAATCTCATGGTGCTCAGTGTCCTGTGTCCTCTGTGCCATCTCCAGGTGTTCAATATTGGGCTGTCGTGCCATCTCTCGGTGCTCCATATCTTGGGATTTGTGTACTATCTCATTACTGTAAGAAACATCTGGCCGTCGATTGACTCGTGGTCGAGCTGCCCCAGGACGACTTGTCCGGGGTGTTTTTGTTACCTCTTCAACCTTTGGACTAGCATTTACAGACACATTCTGGATGGTTTCAATATTCTTGTTTTTCAAATTGGATGACTGAAGTTGATTGGGAATGTCCATGTCTGACAAAGTAGCAAGAAGGTCCATATCTGAGTCTGTATCACCATCTGATTGGTCATCGGCACACAGAAACTCAGCCAGTGTGTCAGGGTCAGGAATTTCTATGACCTACACAGCATATTACCAATAATGTGATAATGACATAGACACGTTAAAACATCTTCTGTACATGGACACTTGACACATCAACACTTGTATTTTACTCAATACTGACATAAAATAATTAGCTTTGTTAGACAATGATACCTTTGATATGATAAGGTTTGACCACAATCATTCAGAAACACCTATGAACATGGGCACAAAGAAACATACACACTTTAAGTTTAAATTTGCATATATCATATTCAATGTACTTTATGAATAAAGGGAAAAGAAAGTTTGTATACAAAGAGTCAAAGCTACTAATTTTGATATAACCCTGGGAACACTGCAGTCTTGGAATTAAGACTTTACACACCATAGACAATAGTTCTATGAGATAGAGATATCTTATATATACTAATGAAAATTTGATAGACCAGACCCTGACCAGGACAATTTTACTAATACATTAGTGTTCAACAACATGAAATAAAGAAAATATCTGTGATACTAAAGGATGCCAAGTAATTTTATAGAAGACTTTTACTCTCACTGCCATACTCATCATTGAATTATAGATTATCACACTGTATTTTCAGGTTTTGTCGTGAGAACAATTTTCTCATCACGTGCACGTTGATAAAATCGAGAGGCCACCACAGGTGGACTCGTAATCATCTATATATACTACTACCTTATATATTTCTCCATTTAAAAAACTCAACTAAACACCATGTTTTCCAAATGACGTCTAAGTTCAATGGTCAACGATCGCCTGTGACAAACGTAAACAAATAGGAGCTTTCTGCGGAAGAATACAATGAACCTTAAAACTACGCAGATTTTTTTTAAAAACAATCCTATCGTCATTGGCTTATTTTCCATATGCACATTTACACCTGAAATGGTCTCACAACATTTTTCCGTAACTTTGTATTGATATGTTTATGACAAACTTTTGTTTTGAGAAAATACATTCCGAAGTGCTGGGGAATGGGAAAATCTGTTCTCGAGTTCTTCTCAAGTCGTTCGCAACTTCTTCTCATACTGGCAAGCAATGATAATGAATTTATCATGCTACCAGTAGGTGGTATAAGGTAGTATATAGATGATAATGCAATATATCATGGGAAAAACTTCATAGACAACTTGGTATGTGAAATAAATGATTCTCATACCCCCAGCTTTTTCACAGTGGTTATCTATGGGTTTGAACACTGACATGTCAGCTAAGGCCATGCCATATGCCTGTTTGTATACCTTTGATCATCACAACAGAAGCCACAGAAATCATCTTGGATTTCAGAATGTTGTATTAAATAACAAACTAAAAACAACAGATACAAGTTATATCTCAAAAGATCTCATCCAATCAGTAATGATGGTAGCCATCTTTGATTATAGCGTGCAGATAATATGGTATTCCTTATAACATAGATATATATTTTCACCGTAAGTTAAACCCCTATTATATTGCACGTTAGCATAATTATAATAACAGTGAATCACTGTGTGAAAATTTCAGAAACTGTCATCAGAACTTAACTTAAACACCAAATTATACTAGGTGGATTAATTTTATCAAATCAATCAAGTTGAAAATAAAATACAATTTGACCAGTAGATCTCACCTTTTTCCTCCTGTCTCTATCTTTGTGTCTGTCGTCCCTATCCCTGTGTCGCTCCTCCCTGTCTTTATTGTGGCGGTCATCTTTCTCTCTGTGGCGATCCTCCCGATCCTTGTGTCGCTCGTCTCTATCCCGTGACTTGTCTTTTCTGTCATCTTTCTCTTTTTTCTCTTCTTTCTCTCTACCTCTTTCCCGATCTCTGCTCTTTTCTCTATCACGTTTCTCCTAATCACCAATGAATATACTTTTTTTTTTATCTAAGTATCACTATTAATGGTTTTAATAGTTCATCTACCTAATACATCAAAAACTGATTAATAGCGAGTGCTAAAATTGTTATACACATTTCTCACTCAAAGGTGCATCATATTTATCATTGTATTATATATAATTACAGTTAATTTAATCCATCAAAAAAACCTCTAAATGTACCATAGAACAATGACTAACAGAAAACAAAAGACCATGTTGCCTGTACCACTCGGACACCTGCTATTTTAAAGTGTGACTTTTAGATTTCTGGTTTTTCAGTGGAGGAAAAAGTTGGCTCTGGAAAGATTAATGGATGTCATGTCCTGGCATATTAACTCACAGGCACTTTGTCACAAATTCTCACAAAAACTTTATCTGACTATCAGTCAGATTTTTTTAACATTTCTTGTTCACGCTAACACAACTTAATGTACTATGAAACTTTTGCTACAGAATTATGATAACCAGTCTGATAAAACAATAAATTTGACCCACACTATTCTGTACTATGACTTTTTTTTTATTTACAATTATGACTAAGATTATTCCGGGCTGTATAAGTAATACCTCTGGTTCTTTTCTACGCTTTTCTTCTCTGTCCTTTGATTTCTCCTTCGCTGGTTCTTCTTTGGAACCTTTGTTCAGAAATTTGCTCACCTGGGCATCATAGTCACCCTAGAGACATCAACAAACAGGGTTTTAGGGTTGTCATGTATAAATGTATTTGAATTTATATTAGATACTACAATTTCACTTAGTTAACTTGTACATGTATACATATTTCCTACTTATGATCATGGATCCACTGTAAACTTCAGTATAAAATACACAAGTTTCATGCTACACATTATAATAATTTATAATACTGTGACACTTTGAATTAAATACATAACAAAATGGCAGTCAGAATGATACCTTTACAGAAAGAAACTATACCTTCATATTGACAGCTGCTGCTAAGCTCTGTAAGAGTGCATTTGTCTGTTCTGGCTCATGCCCTGCCACAATCTTACTTGGTTTAGCTGAGACAGACTTGCCTGTTACTGAAGCTACAAATATGCACCATTAGTAAATAACATGGGATGAATATTTAGACTTTTCAGCTACTAGAATTATTTAGTTTCTATTTCACTATTTGAGAGTGACCTCATACAATTTATTTTGATTTGTAACCTCACATCTACATTTTGTATGTCGGTCATTTTTCTGGAGTGTCTTACTGCAGTAATCATATGACAAATCTGTGTGTTTTCTAGCATCAAGTTGGGACTTTTTTCCAGTATATTAAAATAAAACGATTCTGAGGATGGATAGTTGCAAAAGAACTAAAAAAAGAAAAAAAACTTTGTTCAAGCATATTCTTGAACATATTCTACTTACAGGTGAAATCAATAACCTTTTGCAGGAATGCCATTTTGCTTTCTTTTTCCTGAAAAGAGAACAAAAGACGCTCAATGATAATCTTGAATTCATATATATTTTCTAATGCTTTGGAAAAAATTCCAGTAGACTATAACCTGTATTTAATGCCATTTGTTTGATAATCCATAATTTATCTTGCTTAATTATTGTACAACATGCCATAGCAACATATTTTAAGGTACATGTACCCTGTTAGGTTTTTTCAGTTTCTTTGTCTAGCCCAGGCACATCGCTTTTATGACACCAACATTTTTCTGGACAAATGGTGTCAGTATTATGTAAGATTTTCTGTATCTTTACTTAAAAGCATAGAAAGAAATTCTTAATTTTTTAACAGTCTCAGTGCCTATTTTATATTAATCTTAAAAAAATAAATCTTTTTAAGCTTTTTCCATTACCTATATATATAGCAAAAAGCATCCATTTTCCACATTCCCAATTTTGCCAGTTAAACTAAATCTCAATTACAGGTAGTCATGAAAACAATACAAAACAATGGTCCATTTTTTCCCCCTGAATTTCAATCTATATAGACAATTAAATGTGATCCTAATTCTTAGTGACTTATTTTTAAAAATAAACCATTCCTCAGATCAAATTTTGAGACCAATTTCATTTATAAGATCAACATATTGGTATTATTAAACATTTTATTAACTCAAAACTTACCTTGACATTTTCTGAATTTAGTTCAGATTCTGTGAATAAACCCTTCATAAAACCAGTTGTTTTTATTAGCTGAAATAACATAAACAAGAAATTAAATGTGGAACACATAAGCAGCCAGTTTATGAGATACACTAGAATTTATTAAATAACTACAACAGCAAGTTCATACCAGACATTTACCTTTTTGTGATTAACTACTACATTGTATGTACTGTAGCATAGTGTAAAATGGAGTTACGAATTCTTCGAATGCTAGTCGTTTCGGTACCAAGTCATTTTGTGAGTTCCAAAGACGTTACGGGACATGTACATAACACAAGATGTTTCGGGACTTAATCAAATCGTTTCGGGACATATAAAATGTTCACTTATAATTACATTTCACTCCTGTTTCATATAAAGTCCTGTAAAACAAGTATGGTTTTAGACTATGACCTGTGTCACGACCTACCCTACTCCTATAACAAAAGAGGCCTCTGGTTGGCCTTTTTTTTTTACTCGGATATGATTTTGCCGACCGTAATGCGGCGCCTGTCAAAAATTTACATTAAGTAATGGTATCTACAGAAATTGAAAAATCCTGAAATGACTTTTGACATGTCCCGAAACAACCCGAAAAAAGCCTCGAAACGACTTTCGTCTTGTTACCGAAATGACCCGAAACCAACTCTTCATGTGATATATGTGGGCCATCTTCAATACTCCAGGGGTTACACTCTATGTACCATCAAAAACTGAGGGCATGCAGCTAGCTATTTGATTGGTCTCAGGTAAAAAAAACACCAGCAATCACTAGGCTGGTACCTGTCCGTTGGAAGATTACAGAGAAGCGATGCCAGACTTCAAAACCATGTCAATTTTATTATTACGCGACGGCAAGATTCCATTGATGTTTATCAAATGATCAAACTTTAAATATTCTGTCTCACCACAAGGTGGCACACACTGAGTTTTTGTTTTTGTCATGACATATATATTCCAGGGGTGCACATAGTGTAAATGAGCATAACCCTTGGGTATCGAGGATGTGTACAGCCCATTTGAAGGGAAAATGTATTTAATGTGTCTAAAGTCCCTATTACACACAGTATTAACTATTACTGACTTTGTTGTCTACAGCGTACAGTGCATTGTACTTGGGTGCAATCAGTGATGCTCTAACATATGATTATGAGCATGAAAAGTTCTTTTTATAGCTACTCTACAACACACTATTAACAAATTAAACATTAAGCAACATGACATTTTCTCTCTGGATCTGATTTAGCTACACTTTCCCAATTCATTTAAGCACAGTCTGCTGTCAAATTTTAAAAGAAAAAAAAAGACTAAAAAATGTTATTATCCTTTCATCAATTTCTTTATAACAGTAGATATGTATTCAGCAATCTTATTTTGAATATAACATATTAAATACGGTAATTCCTGTTCGAACTCTACTGTACCTAAATCTGAGATTTATTAGCTACTTCGTTTGCAAATCTCCGAGTTCAAATAAATGCAGTTACCACAGGCGAGCTACAGTAAGATTTCAAGTTTATATAGCCCGCTGTGTTTGTCAAAGTCTAAGCACGAGAAAATGTCAACCACAGTGACGCGCCATATTATTTCAGTGATAACTGTAGGGCTAATCAAATAATGATGTGGTTGTGTCTTAACTCTTTTACCACTTACCGATGTCATAACGTCATGAAGAAATCTAAATGGTGGTTTGGATAACAATTTTTCTGTCAACGGTGGTTTCTTGATGATTTTGCCCAGGGTGTCCTGGGTTTTCTTCATTACTTTCCCATCCATGTTTAAACTTTAAGGTTCCTCTGGTGAATTTGAATCAAGTTCAACCATACGTCTGCTCTTCGATAGTACAGTAGCGTTAAAACAGAATCACTATCCCCTGTTCATGTCAACAGTTATTCGTGCTTGCAGACGGAATTCAATACCACAATTCCCTTTTCCGGAAATGTAAAACATTTCTACTTCCGTTTTAAATGTTTACAGTTGCTAGGGAGCAGGTGCCTGGCGGCAACACGTTGAAATATCCCCTACTCATAAGCCGAAATTATATGTGTTTCGGGAGTTATCTTCGTCTCTTATATCTGCTTTGCTTTGTTTCATCTCCTTACTGTAAATCTTAAGAAAAGTTGACATGATTTTAATATTCAACATGTCATCATGCATAGATCTAGGTCAAAGGGAAATAACTCCCGTGACAGATTAATACATTTATGTACAAAATTACCTATTCACAATACAAATTATATATATATATATATGTACATATACACAACCAGTCGGTTGTATATTTGTACCGGCATCTAAGTTAACATTTCTTGACAGGGCCACCGCTTTCAAAAGCTATAGAGTGTCTACAGTGAGCTTTGGTGGTTTCATGTAACTTATTAGGAAACCATACACACAAAAACTAACAACACACCAATTGACTTTTGACATGTGACATGTGAAGCCGTCAGTGTGATACACCTATGACATACATTAGTAGCAATTTGTTGTACTAAGAATTCGCAAAAGTAGAAGAAGTGAGGTGATAATCTACTTTCTAGCATCCTAAAAAAGCCACAACTTTCCCTTTGTTGTTTTCAAAACTTCTTTTTCTCTCTCACGTGAATGTTCCATCATGTCAAAGGAACTGCGAACATCCTCAAAATGTTGAATATTTGCTCAAGACCCAATTTAAGATCAGGGGTGCCCGAACTTACATCGAAGCCGATCTTGCCCCGGTCTCTCCCATATTATGAGCTTAATTAATACTTTAACAAAGTATCAATTACTTCAAACTAAAATGAAAGAAATGCAGTAACATAATAAGAATCGTTTAAACGTTTACATTGTTATCCCCCGACAGCCTAGCCGACCGGCTCACCACAAATTACAAAACAAAATCGTATCATTCAGAATGATACCGTCAGTTTGGGATAAATACTGGTGCTAAGTTTGTTTTAAACACAAACAGTAATTGAACACTCATTTAGTGAACTTTCGAACTTTCTTTTGTCAAGCAAAGAGGGTAAATGATCGGTGTCGACTCAATTCACTCGAAGTAACAATGTCTCCAAGAAACATACTAACGGCATGGTCACTATACCATACATAACAAGGAGTGTCTGAAGGACTTTCAAGAGTGTTATGCAATCATCACATCAACACGCCTCTTCGACCATCAACGCCATCAAGCAACCATGAGTTTATCCGAAAGACGAAACGCTGATGGAAGGGTTTACCAAATTTTATGTAACAACCGCAACCTTACATATATCAAGGAAACAAGCTGGACATATGGGATACGTATTAAAGAACATCAGAAAGATGTTGACTGGACCACGGAACAGCAATTCAAGAAATAAAAGGAAAACATCGGGGAAACAATTAGCACTGGTCACAATTTCTAATGTACCATTTGACGTCGTCAACAGTATTTCCCATCTGTTTACTCTTACACTCATTATACTTTTCTCTGCTGCTGTGAGTGGGATGATAGTGTGACCTGATTGATGTTACAGCTGATACGTTAGTAGCAAAAGAACATATTTCAGATCGTACGACAGGAATGTGTTTATAACTTCCTAGAAGTCTATTACAGACAATGTTTCAGAGTGTAGAAGAGGGATTTATTTATAACTTCCTTAAAGTCTATTACAGAACATGTTACAGAACATAGGACAGAGATTATTTATAACTTCCTAGAAGTCTATTACAGACAATGTTACAGAACATAGGACAGAGATTATTTATAACTTCCTAGAAGTCTATTACAGACAATGTTTCAGAGTGTAGAAGAGGGATTTATTTATAACTTCCTTAAAGTCTATTACAGAACATGTTACAGAACATAGGTCAGGGATTATTTATAACTTCCTAGAAGTCTAGAACTCTATTATATGAATCACCAAAAGGACAGAATGATGTTTTCTCTATTTCTTTCGGAAAGAAATGTAACCGATAATAGAGAAGACATGTAGGTTTTTGCAAAAGAGTCATACACATATGCGGTGCTGATTAAATTATTGCGTGAATTCCGCCCAACCACCCCTAAGTTATATGACCCAATTGGTAACCCCTTTTGATTAAATCTTTATCAACATGTTACGCTTACATATTATAACCTATACACATTTCCCTTTTATCCAGATTAACTGTTATATGCGACATTGTACAGTTGTTTCAAACATGATGTTTTCTTAACATTGTTCGCTCATTTGGAAGGAAAAGCGCCATCTCTCTGGCCATCAAAAGGAGGACAACAACAGGAATGGAGGAGACACCAAAACAAACGGGTAGACATCAACAGGGAAAAGAGAGGACAACAACAGGAACAGAGGAGACACCAAAACAACAGGGTAGACATCAACAGAAACATAAAAGGGAGGACAACAACAGGAACAGAGGAGACACCAAAACAACCGGGTAGACATCAGCAGGGAAAAAGGAGGACAACAACAGGAACAGAGGAGACACCAAAAAAACCGGGTTTACATCAACAGGGAAAAGGGAGGACAACAACAGGAACAGAGGAGACACCAAAACAAACGGGTAAACATCAACAGGGAAAAAGGAGAACAACAACTGGAACAGAGGAGACACCAAAACAAACGGGGACACATCAACAGGGAAAAGGGAGGAAAACAACAGGAATGGAGGAGACACCAAAACAAACGGGTAGACATCAACTGGGAAAAGGGAAGACAACAACAGGAACAAGAAGACACCAAAACAACCGGGTAGACATCAACATCAACAGAAAAAGGGAGGACAACAACGGGAACAGAGGAGACACCAAAAACAAACGGAGAGACATCAACTGGGAAAAGGGAAGACAACAACAGGAACAAGAAGACACCAAAACAACCGGGTAGACATCAACATCAACAGAAAAAGGGAGGACAACAACAGGAACAGAGGAGACACCATAACAAACGGGTAGACATCAACAGGGAAAAGGGAGGACAACAACAGGAACAGAGGAGACACCAAAAACAAACGGAGAGACATCAACTGGGAAAAGGGAAGACAACAACAGGAACAAGAAGACACCAAAACAACCGGGTAGACATCAACATCAACAGAAAAAGGGAGGACAACAACGGGAACAGAGGAGACACCAAAAACAAACGGAGAGACATCAACTGGGAAAAGGGAAGACAACAACAGGAACAAGAAGACACCAAAACAACCGGGTAGACATCAACATCAACAGAAAAAGGGAGGACAACAACAGGAACAGAGGAGACACCAAAAAAACGGGTTTACATCAACAGGGAAAAGGGAAGACAACAACAGGAACAGAGGAGACACCAAAAAAACCGGGTTTACATCAACATGGAAAAGGGAGGACAACAACAGGAACAGAGGAGACACCATAACAAACGGGTAGACATCAACAGGGAAAAGGGAGGACAACAATAGGAACGGAGGAGACACCAAAACAACCGGGAAGACATCAGCAGGTAAAAAGGAGGACAACAACAGGAACAGAGGAGACACCAAAACAAACGGGAACACATCAACAGGGAAAAGGGAGGAAAACAACAGGAATGGAAGACAAAAGGAGGACATCAACAGGAATAGAGGAGACACCAAAACAAACGGGGAGACATCAACAGGGAAAATGAAGGACAACAACAGGAACAGAGGAGACACCAAAAAAACGGGTTTACATCAACAGGGAAAAGGGAAGACAACAACAGGAACAGAGGAGACACCAAAACAAACGGATAGACATCAACAGAAACTGAAAAAGAAGGACCACAACAGGAACAGAGGAGACACCAAAACAAACGGGGACACATCAACAGGGAAAAGGGAGGAAAACAACAGGAATGGAGGAGACAGAAAATCAAACGGGTAGACATCAACAGGGAAAAGGGAGGACAACAACAGGAACAGAGGAGACACCAAAAACAAACGGAGAGACATCAACTGGGAAAAGGGAAGACAACAACAGGAACAAGAAGACACCAAAACAACCGGGTAGACATCAACATCAACAGAAAAAGGGAGGACAACAACGGGAACAGAGGAGACACCAAAAAAACGGGTTTACATCAACAGGGAGAAAGGAGGACAACAACAGGAACAGAGGAGACACCAAAACAAACGGGTAGACATCAACTGGGAAAAGGGAAGACAACAACAGGAACAAGAAGACACCAAAACAACCGGGTAGACATCAACATCAACAGAAAAAGGGAGGACAACAACGGGAACAGAGGAGACACCAAAAAAACGGGTTTACATCAACAGGGAGAAAGGAGGACAACAACAGGAACAGAGGAGACATCAAAACAAACGGGAATACATCAACAGAAACAGACAAAAGGAGGACAACAACAGGAATAGAGGAGACACCAAAACAAACGGGTAGACATCAACAGGGAAAATGAAGGACAACAACAGGAACAGAGGAGACACCAAAACAAACGGATAGACATCAACAGAAACTGAAAAAGAAGGACAACAACAGGAACAGAGGAGACACCAAAACAAACGGGTACACATCAACAGGGAAAAGGGAGGAAAACAACAGGAATGGAGGAGACACAAAATCAAACGGGTAGACATCAACAGGGAAAAGGGAGGACAACAACAGGAACAGAGGAGACACCATAACAAACGGGTAGACATCAACAGGGAAAAGGGAGGACAACAATAGGAACAGAGGAGACACCAAAACAACCGGGAAGACATCAACCGAAACAGAAAAAGGGAAGACAACAAAATGAACAGAGGAGACACCAAAACAACAGGGTAGACATCAACAGAAACATATAAGAGAAGACACCAAAACAACCGGGTAGACATCACAAGGAAAAAAGGAGAACAACAACAGGAACAGAGGAGACCCCAAAACAAACGGAGAGACATCAACTGGGAAAAGGGAAGACAACAAAGGAAAAAGGAGACACCAAAACAATCGGAGGGACATCAACAGAAACAGCAAAAGGGAGGACAACAACAGGAACAAGGAGACACCAAAACAATCGGAGGGACATCAACAGAAACAGCAAAAGGGAGGACAACAACAGGAACAAGGAGACACCAAATCAACCGGGAAGACATCAGCAGGTAAAAAGGAGCCAAAACAACCGGGAAGACATCAGGGAAAAAGGAGGACAACAACAGGAACAGATGAGACACCAAAAAAACGGGTTTAGAGGAGACACCAAAACAAACGGATAGACATCAACAGAAACAGCAAAAGGGAGGACAACAACAGGAACAGAGGAGACACCAAAACAAACGGAGAGACATCAACTGGGAAAAGGGAAGACAACAAAGGAACAAGGAGACACCAAAACAATCGGAGGGACATCAACAGAAACAGCAAAAGGGAGGACAACAACAGGAACAAAGGAGACACCAAAAAAACCGGGTAGACATCAACTGGGACAAGGGAAGACATCAGCAGGTAAAACGGAGGACAACAACAGTAACAGAGGAGACACCAGAACAAACGGATATACTTCAACAGGTAAAAGGGAAGTCAACAACAGGAACAGGGGAGACACCAAAACAGCCGGGTAGACATCAGCAGGTAAAACGGAGGACAACAACAGGAATAGAGGAGACACCAAAACAACCGGGAAGACAACAATAGGAACAGAGGAGACACCAAAACAAACGGATATACTTCAACAGGGAAAAGGGAAGACAACAACAGGAACAGAGGAGACACCAAAACAACCGGGTAGACATCAGCAGGTAAAAAGGAGGACAACAACAGGAACAGAGGAGACACCAAAACAAACGGGTAGACATCAACAGAAACTGAAAAAGAAGGACCACAACAGGAACAGAGGAGACACCAAAACAAACGGGTACACATCAACAGGGAAAAGGGAGGAAAACAACAGGAACAGAGGAGACACCAAAACAAACGGGTAGACATCACCAGGGAAAAAGGAGGACACCAACAGGAACAGAGGAGACCCCAAAACAAACGGGTAGACATCAACAGGGAAAAGGGAGGACAACAACAGGAACAGAGGAGACACCAAAACAAACGAAGAGACATCAACTAGGAAAAGGGAGGACAACAAAGGAACAAGGAGACACCAAAACAATCAGATAGACATCAACAGAAACAGCAAAAGGGAGGACAACAACAGGAACAAGCAGACACCAAATCAACCGGGAAGACATCAGCAGGTAAAAAGGAGGACAACAACAGGAACAGAGGAGACACCAAAACAAACGGGTAGACATCAACAGGGAAAAGGGAGGACAACAACAGGAACAGAGGAGACACCAAAACAAACGAAGAGACATCAACTAGGAAAAGGGAGGACAACAAAGGAACAAGGAGACACCAAAACAATCGGATAGACATCAACAGAAACAGCAAAAGGGAGGACAACAACAGGAACAAGGAGACACCAAATCAACCGGGAAGACATCAGCAGGTAAAAAGGAGGACAACAACAGGAACAGAGGAGACATCAAAACAAACGGGTATACATCAACAGAAACAGACAAAAGGAGGACAACAACAGGAATAGAGGAGACACCAAAACAAACGGGTAGACATCAACAGTGAAAAGGGAGGACAACAACAGGAACAGGGGAGACACCAAAACAACTGGGAAGACATCAACAGAAACAGACAAAAGGAGGACAACAACAGGAATAGAGGAGACACCAAAACAAACGGGAAGACATCAACAGTGAAAAGGGAGGACAACAACAGGAACAGAGGAGACCCCAAAACAAACGGGAAGACATCAACAGTGAAAAGGGAGGACAACAACAGGAACAGGGGAGACACCAAACCAACTGGGAAGACATCACCAGAAACAGACAAAAGGAGGACAACAACAGGAACAGAGGAGACACCAAAACAAACGGGAAGACATCAACAGGGGAAAGGGAGGACAACAACAGGAACAGAAAAAGGGGGGACATCAACAGGAACAGAGGAGACACCAAAACAAACGGGAAGGCATCAACAGAAATAGAAAAAGGGAGGAAAACAACAGGAACAGAAGAGACACCAAAACAACCGGGTAGACATCAACAGGAACAGAAAAAAGGGGGACAACAACCGAAACAGAGAGACACCAAAATAACCCCGAGGACAACAACAGGAACAGAGGATACACCAAAACAACCGGGAAGACAAAAACAGGAACAGAAAAAGGGGGGACAACAACAGGAACAGAGGAGACACCAAAACAAACGGGTAGACATCAACAGGGAGAAGGGAGGACACCAACAGGAACACAGGAGACACCAAAACAAACGTGTAGACATCAACAGGGAAAAAGGAGTACAACAACAGGAACAGAGGAGACACCAAAACAAACGGGAAGACATCAACAGGGAAAAGGGAGGACAACAACAGGAACAGAAAAAGGGGGGACAAAAACAGAGGAGACACCAAAACCAAAACAAACGGGTAGACGTCAACAGGGAGAAGGGATGACAATAACAGGAACAGAGGAGACACCAAAACAACTGGGAACACAACAACAGAGACAGAAAAGGGTGGGTGGGAACAAGAACAGGAACAAAGGAGACACCAAAACAAACGGGTAGACATCAACAGGGAGAAGGGAGGACAACAACAGGATCAGAGGAGACACCATAATAAACGGGTAGACATCAACAGGGAAAAAGGAGGACAACAACAGAAACAGAGGAGACACCAAACAACAACAGGAACAAGGAGACACCGAATCAACCGGGAAGACATCAACAGGGAAAATGAAGGACAACAACAGGAACAGAGAAGACACCAAAAACAAACGAAGAGACATCAACTGGGAAAAGGGAGGACAATGTCAGGCAGAGGAGACACCAAAAAAAACGGGAAGACGTCAACAGAGAAAAGGAAGGACAACAACAGAACAGAGGAGACACCATAATAGACGGGTAGACATCAACAGGGAAAAGGAGGACAACAACAGAAACAGACAAAGGAGAGACATCAACTGGGAAAAGGGAAGACAACAAAGGAACAAGGCGACACCAAAACAACCGGGTAGACATGAACAACAACAGAAAAAGGGAGGACAACAACTAACCCCGAGGACAACAACAGGAATAGAGGAGACACCAAAACAAACGAGTAGACATCAACAGGGAAAAGGAGGACAACAACAGAAACAGAGGAGACACCAAACAACAACAGGAACAAGGAGACACCGAATCAACCGGGAAGACATCAACATCACCAGAAAAAGGGAGGACAACAAAGGAACAAGGCGACACCAAAACAACCGGGAAGGCAACAGCAGGTAAAAAGGAGGCCAACAACAGGAACAGAGAAGACACCAAAAACAAACGGAGAGACATCAACTGGTAAAAGGGAAGACAACAACAGGACCAAGAAGACACCAAAACAAACGAGTAGACATCAACAGGGAGAAGGGAGGACAACAACAGGGTCAGAGGAGACACCATAATAAACGGGTAGACGTCAACAACCGAAACAGAGAGACACCAAAATAACCCCGAGGACAACAACAGGAACAGAGGAGACAACAAAACAAAAGGGAAGACAACAAAGTAACAAGGAGACACCAAAACAACCGGGTAGACATCAGCAGGGAAAAAGGAGGACAACAACAGGAGCAGAGGAGACACCAAAACAAACGGAGAGACATAAACTGGGAAAAGGGAAGACAACAACAGGAACAGGGGAGACACCAAACCAACTGGGAAGACATCACCAGAAACAGACAAAAGGAGGACATCAACAGGAATAGAGGAGACACCAAAACAAACGGGTAGACATCAACAGAGAAAAGGAAGGACAACAACAGAACAGAGGAGACACCAAAACAAACGTGTAGACATCAACAGGGAGAAGGGAGGACAACAACAGAAACAGAGGAGACACCAAAACAAACGGGTAGACATCAACAGAAACAGACAAAAGGAGGACAACAACAGGAACAAAGGAGACACCAAAACAAACGGGTAGACATCAACTGGGAAAAGGGAAGACAACAACAGGAACAAGAAGACACCAAAACAACCGGGTAGACATCAACATCAACAGAAAAAGGGAGGACAACAACAGGAACAGAGGAGACACCAAAAACAAACGGAGAGACATCAACTGGGAAAAGGGAAGACAACAAAGGAACAAGGAGACACCAAAACAACCGGGAAGACATCAGCAGGTAAAAAGGAGGACAACAACAGGAACAGAGGAGACATCAAAACAAACGGGTAAACATCAACAGAAACAGACAAAAAGGAGGACAACAACAGGAATAGAGGAGACACCAAAACAAACGGGTAGACATCAACAGGGAAAATGAAGGACAACAACAGGAACAGAGGAGACACCAAAACAAACGGATAGACATCAACAGAAACTGAAAAAGAAGGACAACAACAGGAACAGAGGAGACACCAAAACAAACGGGTAGACATCAACAGAAACTGAAAAAGAAGGACAACAACAGGAACAGAGGAGACACCAAAACAAACGGGTACACATCAACAGGGAAAAGGGAGGAAAACAACAGGAATGGAGGAGACACAAAATCAAACGGGTAGACATCAACAGGGAAAAGGGAGGACAACAACAGGAACAGAGGAGACACCATAACAAACGGGTAGACATCAACAGGGAAAAGGGAGGACAACAATAGGAACAGAGGAGACACCAAAACAACCGGGAAGACATCAACCGAAACAGAAAAAGGGAAGACAACAAAATGAACAGAGGAGACACCAAAACAACAGGGTAGACATCAACAGAAACATATAAGGGAGAAAAACAATAGGAACAGAGGAGACACCAAAACAACCGGGTAGACATCACAAGGAAAAAAGGAGAACAACAACTGGAACAGAGGAGACACCAAAACAAACGGGTAAACAACAACAGAAACAGTCAAAAGAAGGAAAACAACAGGAACAGAGGAGACACCAAAACAAACGGGTAGACATCAACAGGGAAAAGGGAAGACAACAACAGGAACAGAGGAGACACCAAAACAACCGGGAAGACATCAGGGAAAAAGGAGGACAACAACAGGAACAGAGGAGACACCAAAAAAACGGGTTTACATCAACAGGGAAAAAGGAGGACAACAACAGGAACAGATGAGACACCAAAAAAACGGGTTTACATCAACAGGGAAAAGGGAGAACAACAACAGGAACAAAGGAGACACCAAAACAAACGGATAGACATCAACTGGGAAAAGGGAAGACAACAACAGGAACAAGAAGACACCAAAACAACCGGGTAGACATCAACATCAACAGAAAAAGGGAGGACAACAACAGGAACAGAGGAGACACCAAAACAAACGGAGAGACATCAACTGGGAAAAGGGAAGACAACAAAGGAACAAGGAGACACCAAAACAATCGGAGGGACATCAACAGAAACAGCAAAAGGGAGGACAACAACAGGAACAAGGAGACACCAAATCAACCGGGAAGACATCAGCAGGTAAAAAGGAGGACAACAACAGGAACAGAGGAGACATCAAAACAAACGGGTATACATCAACAGAAACAGACAAAAGGAGGACAACAACAGGAATAGAGGAGACACCAAAACAAACGGGTAGACATCAACAGTGAAAAGGGAGGACAACAACAGGAACAGGGGAGACACCAAACCAACTGGGAAGACATCACCAGAAACAGACAAAAGGAGGACAACAACAGGAACAGAGGAGACACCAAAACAAACGGGAAGACATCAACAGGGGAAAGGGAGGACAACAACAGGAACAGAAAAAGGGGGGACATCAACAGGAACAGAGGAGACACCAAAACAAACGGGAAGGCATCAACAGAAATAGAAAAAGGGAGGAAAACAACAGGAACAGAAGAGACACCAAAACAACCGGGTAGACATCAACAGGAACAGAAAAAAAGGGG